GCCAGGGGCCTGATATTCATTTTTCCTGATATGAGCTATATAAATATATTTTGAAACCGTATGCGCTCCTACACCAATCATGCGATTGCTACAAAACTTAGTGAGTTGTTGTCCCTGCGCAAAGGCATTTTACTGTGTTATTTAAACACTTTTAAAAATATTCCGTTTTTGGCCGTTGGCTCTAAATTCGTATTTTTTCTTATATGAGCTTTGTAAAAAATAATTTTCATATGCGCTCCTACGCCATTTATCCGATTCCGATAAAACTTTAATGAGATGTTGCAAGCATGTCTATAAAGGTTTCTAAATTATTACAACCGTTTTAAAGTATTCAGTTTTGAGCCAGGGGCCTCATATTCGTTTTTCCTAATATGAGCTATATAAATATATTTTCAAACCGTATGCGCTCCTACACCAATCACGCGATTGCTACAAAACTTAGTGAGTTGTTGTCCATGTGCCAGTGCATTTTACTGTGTTATTTAAACACTTTTAAAAACATTCTGTTTTCGGCCGTTGGCCCTTAATTCGTATTTTTTCTTATATGAGCTTTTAATCTTCTGATTTATTCGTGTATATACCAGATGGAAACACAAGAAAAATTTTGAGTATTTAAAAGCTCTTGAAGAAACATAACATGCAAACACTTTCTTTCCTTGAGTGGCATTGCAACGCATGCCGGGTACTCGCTAGTTGTTTATAAATGTTCTGAAAGTGATGAGTATATTCTGAGGAAAAGATGTTACTTCAAGTGGTGGGAGGTGGCGCAATGTTGCCCTATCCTTAAGCACGTCCACCTTGCCGATTTGGTCAGTTCCATTTTTGTAAACCGTTGTGCTCCAGTGCGACGTGGAAGGTCATATATCGCCAGGTGCTGTGATGACACTCCGCTGGTCAAACAAATTTCAATAAAAATTGAACACCTTGACCTTGTTTGAACACACCCCAATTCCCATTAGAACAAAACAACTCTTTTAGTGTTAAGCATGAATTCTTCCCCTTTGTTATTGTCCAAGGGAAAAAGCTATTCCACAAAGTATTGCTGGTGACGTCCACACAAACATCAGGACGAACAAGGGAAAAAGCTATTCCACAAAGTATTGCTGTTGACCTCCACACACACACACACACACATCACGACGTACAAGGGAAAAAGCTATTCCACAAGTATTGCTGGTGACGTCCACACACACATCACAACGAACAAGGGAAAAAGCTATTCCACAAAGTATTGCTGGTGACGTCCACACACACACACACACACACACATCACGACGTACAAGGGAAAAAGCTATTCCACAAGTATTGCTGGTTACGTCCACACACACATCACGACGAACAAGGGAAAAAGCTATTCCACAAGTATTGCTGGTGACGTCCACACACACATCACGACGAACAAGGGAAAAAGCTATTCCACAAGTATTGCTGTTGACCTCCACACACAAACACACACACACACATGACGACGTACAAGGGAAAAAGCTATTCCACAAGTATTGCTGTTGACCTCCACACACAAACACACACACACACATGACGACGTACAAGGGAAAAAGCTATTCCACAAGTATTGCTGTTGACCTCCACACACACATGACGACGTACAAGGGAAAAAGCTATTCCACAAGTATTGCTGTTGACCTCCACACACACATGACGACGTACAAGGGAAAAAGCTATTCCACAAGTATTGCTGTTGACCTCCACACACACATGACGACGTACAAGGGAAAAAGCTATTCCACAAGTATTGCTGTTGACCTCCACACACACATGACGACGTACAAGGGAAAAAGCTATTCCACAAGTATTGCTGTTGACCTCCACACACACATGACGACGTACAAGGGAAAAAGCTATTCCACAAGTATTGCTGTTGACCTCCACACACACATGACGACGTACAAGGGAAAAAGCTATTCCACAAGTATTGCTGTTGACCTCCACACACACATGACGACGTACAAGGGAAAAAGCTATTCCACAAGTATTGCTGTTGACCTCCACACACACATGACGACGTACAAGGGAAAAAGCTATTCCACAAGTATTGCTGTTGACCTCCACACACACATGACGACGTACAAGGGAAAAAGCTATTCCACAAGTATTGCTGTTGACCTCCACACACACATGACGACGTACAAGGGAAAAAGCTATTCCACAAGTATTGCTGTTGACCTCCACACACACATGACGACGTACAAGGGAAAAAGCTATTCCACAAGTATTGCTGTTGACCTCCACACACACATGACGACGTACAAGGGAAAAAGCTATTCCACAAGTATTGCTGTTGACCTCCACACACACATGACGACGTACAAGGGAAAAAGCTATTCCACAAGTATTGCTGTTGACCTCCACACACACATGACGACGTACAAGGGAAAAAGCTATTCCACAAGTATTGCTGTTGACCTCCACACACACATGACGACGTACAAGGGAAAAAGCTATTCCACAAGTATTGCTGTTGACCTCCACACACACATGACGACGTACAAGGGAAAAAGCTATTCCACAAGTATTGCTGTTGACCTCCACACACACATGACGACGTACAAGGGAAAAAGCTATTCCACAAGTATTGCTGTTGACCTCCACACACACATGACGACGTACAAGGGAAAAAGCTATTCCACAAGTATTGCTGTTTACCTCCACACACACATGACGACGTACAAGGGAAAAAGCTATTCCACAAGTATTGCTGTTGACCTCCACACACACATGACGACGTACAAGGGAAAAAGCTATTCCACAAAGTATTGCTGGTGACGTCCACACACACATGACGACGTACAAGGGAAAAAGCTATTCCACAAAGTATTGCTGGTGACGTCCACACACACATGACGACGTACAAGGGAAAAAGCTATTCCACAAGTATTGCTGGTGACGTCCACTTGCGTTCCCGCACTGAGAAGCCACGAAGGAGAGGAATGGAGAAACCACTTCCACTATTGAAGTGACCTCCTAAATTGACTATATCAACCCGGGTGATCAAAAATCATTTGATGTTTATCACGTTATGTCTGGACGTTCTGATCAGACCGAACTCTGTTACAAAGCAAAGCGACTATAATGGTGAATGCTAGGCATCACCGAAGGACAATGTCCATAGCCCTTAAAGTTAAAGCCTTAAAATAAATGATATGCAAAGGTTTCTCATATCCTTATCTATTATAATTTCTATGTAATTACATGTCATTACATGTCAATAAATAAGTTAAGTTAATTTATGAATGGATTCCTTAGATTTGTAGGTGTCACACATGATTTATCCCTAGACACGAGCAGGTGAAAAAAGTCACACGAGAGTTATCCCTAGACACAAGCATGTGAAAGAAGTCACATAAGAGTTATCCCTAGACACAAGCATGTGAAAGAAGTCACATAAGAGTTATTCCTAGACACAAGCATGTGAAAGAAGTCACATGAGCGTTATCCCTAGACACAACCAAGTGAAAGAAGTCACACGAGAGTTATCCACAGACACAAGCAGGTGAAAGAAGTCATACGAGAGTTATCCCTAGACACAAGCAGGTGAAAGAAGTCACACGAGAGTTATCCCTAGACACAACCAAGTGAAAGAAGTCATACGAGAGTTATCCCTAGACACAAGCAGGTGAAAGAAGTCATACGAGAGTTATCCCTAGACACAAGCAGGTGAAAGAAGTCATACGAGAGTTATCCCTAGACACAAGCAGGTGAAAGAAGTCACATAAGAGTTATCCCTAGACACAAGCAGGTGAAAGAAGTCACACGAGAGTTATCCCTAGACACAAGCAGGTGAAAGAAGTCACACGAGAGTTATCCCTAGACACAACCAAGTGAAAGAAGTCATACGAGAGTTATCCCTAGACACAACCAAGTGAAAGAAGTCATACGAGAGTTATCCCTAGACACGAGCAGGTGAAAGAAGTCATACGAGAGTTATCCCTAGACACAACCAGGTGAAAGAAGTCATACGAGAGTTATCCCTAGACACAACCAAGTGAAAGCAGTCATACGAGAGTTATCCCTAGACACAAGCAGGTGAAAGAAGTCATACGAGAGTTATCCCGAGACACAAGCATGTGAAAGAAGTCACACGAGAGTTATCCCTAGACACAAGCATGTGAAAGAAGTCACATAAGAGTTATCCCTAGACACAAGCAGGTGAAAGAAGTCATACGAGAGTTATCCCTAGACACAAGCAGGTGAAAGAAGTCACACGAGAGTTATGCCTAGACACAACCAAGTGAAAGAAGTCATACGAGAGTTATCTCTAGACACAACCAAGTGAAAGAAGTCATACGAGAGTTATCCCTAGACACAAGCATGTGAAAGAAGTCACACGAGGGTTATCCCTAGACACAAGCAGGTGAAAGAAGTCATACGAGAGTTATCCCTAGACACAACCAAGTGAAAGAAGTCACACGAGTGTTATCCCTAGACACAACCAAGTGAAAGAAGTCATACGAGAGTTATCCATAGACATAATCAGGTGAAAGAAGTCACACGAGAGTTATCCCTAGACACAAGCAAGTGAAAGAAGTCATACGAGACTTATCCCTAGACACAACCAAGTGAAAGAAGTGACACGAGAGTTATCCCTAGACACGAGCAGGTGAAAGAAGTCATACGTGAGTTACCCACTTACATTTACCATTAGAAGTCATTGCACCACTTGTGACATTGTCAGTTTGGTGTCAATGTATCACTACAGCTTAGTCCATACGGGCAATACATGAACAGTGTTGTGCTACGTCAGAGATGAACATTTGTTCAGACCCAATCCTGTTTTTGTTTTGTGACGTGGTCGCACTGTGGCATGATGTGAAGTACTGTGAAGTACTGTGAAGGACTTTGAAGTACTGTGAAGTACTGTGAAGCACTGTGAAGTAATGTGAAGGGCTGTGTCTTCTTTGTGTCGTATTTCATTTCCACGTCTGTGATGTCAGGAATGTGTGTCGTGTTGACGCTACACGATTTGGTCACGTGCGCAGACGGGTCAGTGGGCCAAAGAAGGGCACACTCAAGAGTTGGCAACACGGCTACACAGCAACGCAGCAACACATTCCATGTGCTCAAATCAACCAACTGACACATCTGTGCTAGAGACAACGCTTGGTTGACACACAGACAGCCTCAATGGCGACACAGGCAGCCGCGATGTAAACAGAGACACCGCAGATGAAAACACAGGTGGAGTGAACTGCTACATACATGCAGCATATTCCAGGTAAATATTAAATAGAATTTAAGCGACATAAGAAAAGGCATACACAAAGATATGTCTAAAAGGGAAGAAATCGATTATTGAAATCATTTGTTATTAATTTGTTGTAATTGTGGTTTAAAATGTCCTGTATATATTAGCTTGTCCCATTTCTTATAATATAGGCCAGACTTTTCAAACCAGGGGTGCTCGAACCCCCCCCCCCCCCCCGCCCCCCCCCGGGCCAACCTTGGGTGCTCACACTGCCATGGGATTGGGACATAAACTGATTTTATTTACAGTAAGATATGATAATATAAATATGTATTTATTTATTTTTTTTTTTAACGCTAATAAGTTCCGCGCTTATTTTATAAGTTCTACATTTCTAACTATCCTTTAAAGATGAAGGCAGTGTTACTTTTGATGTTGGTGTCAGACAAATAATTCGTAGAGGTGGGGGACATAGGAAAGGGGGGAAACCCTGATGTGGACTTTCCCCAAATCTGCGTGTCTGCTTGAATGCAGTGACACAGGACTTACTCTCCAGGACAGTGACGTCACTGGATGTCTTTATGTCTTGGCGCACTCCCGTCTTTAGTGACGTCACTGGTGTGTCAAGTTGGTGGAAAGAAATAAGAAATTCCACCACACCAAGCTATCAAGGTCAAGTGCTTTGTCAAGGTCAAGTTCTTCTCTCCCCCCTTTCCCCACTTTCCCTTTAAGATCGTCTTGGCAACGTTGGATGTAGTAGAAGCCCTGATGTCTAGACTACCCCCCTCCCCCGGCCGCTGTCCATCCCTTCTCGACACATGATTTATCCATGGATATAAATATAAAATATCGGTTCTCACCCCTCACTGTCCCAGCCCTCTTACCATTCACCTTACAACTCCCTCGCCTACCCTCTTCTGCCTCATCCACCACAACTTCCTCTCCTAGAATTCACATACCCTCTTCTGCCAACTTCCTCTCCTAGAATGCACCTACCCTCTTCTGCCAACTTCCTCTCCTAGAATTCACCTACCCTCTTCTGCCAACTTCCTCTCCTAGAATTCACCTACCCTCTTCTGCCTCATGTCAAGTATGGGAGTCCAATAATAACTGTTGCGACTAAATATCACGCTTGACTCTGTGACGTATTTTCATGCTTATTTTGACGTATTGTCTAGACTGTATTATGACGTACGTTTTATTCGTCTGGCAGTCGTCAATGGGACTTTGTGAAAGTAGGATGGGTATTATTTCTGCCTGATAGCGAACTGCGCCACATTCATGCGTGTATGGAGTTTACGTCCTGTGTTAATAATAAGATATGAAAGTTACATTTATTGTGATAAAAGACTTGGGTTTATTCAATATTAGCACGACGTTATTCAAGGAACTTAACGAATTAACCAATCCAGTAGAACAAGGACTTGGCACATTACCAATCCTAACTTCCTCTCCTAGAGTTCACCTACCCTCTTCTGCCTTACCAATCCTAACTTCCTCTCCTAGAGGTCACCTACCCTCTTCTGCCTTACCAATCCTAACTTCCTCTCCTAGAGATCACCTACCCTCTTCTGCCTTACCAATCCCAACTTCCTCTCCTAGAATTCACCTACCCTCTTCTGCCTTACCAATCCCAACTTCCTCTCCTAGAGTTCACCTACCCTCTTCTGCCTTACCAATCCTAACTTCCTCTCCTAGAGGTCACCTACCCTCTTCTGCCTTACCAATCCTAACTTCCTCTCCTAGAGATCACCTACCCTCTTCTGCCTTACCAATCCCAACTTCCTCTCCTAGAATTCACCTACCCTCTTCTGCCTTACCAATCCCAACTTCCTCTCCTAGAGTTCACCTACCCTCTTCTACCTTACTAATCCCAACTTCCTCTCCTAGAGTTCACCTACCCTCTTCTGCCTTACTAATCCCAACCTCCTCTCCTAGAATTCACCTACCATCTTCTGCCTTACCAATCCTAACTTCCTCTCCTAGAGTTCACCTACCCTCTTCTGCCTTACCAATCCCAACTTCCTCTCCTGGAGTTCACCTACCCTCTTCTGCCTTACCAATCCCAACTTCCTCTCCTAGAGTTCACCTACCCTCTTCTACCTTACTAATCCCAACTTCCTCTCCTAGAGTTCACCTACCCTCTTCTGCCTTACTAATCCCAACCTCCTCTCCTAGAATTCACCTACCCTCTTCTGCCTTACCAATCCTAACTTCCTCTCCTGGAGTTCACCTACCCTCTTCTGCCTTACCAATCCTAGCTTCCTCTCCTAGAGATCACCTACCCTCTTCTGCCTTACCAATCCCAACTTCCTCTCCTAGAGATCACCTACCCTTACCTTTTAACAATCAAATCAATCGGCACAGCGTCGAGAGATATAGATTAGAATAGATATAAGCACTTTAGTTATAATGTTCCATGTGTCCATGTCAGTCTTTATTCCAGCCCCGTCTCTTCACAGGCTGACAAGATATCATGTAAAGAAGCCCAAAGCAAGATGGCCGTGTCTGGCAGAGTTGCCCTATGGCAACAGCACTGGGACTCGGGATCAATGGCACAGTTTTATGTCAAGAAACCTCACCCGTAAGATCAGGAAGGGTTTAGGGGCAGGGCGGGAAGACACTGAACACATTCTTGCTCATTTAAAGACATTTTGACAAATTTACAGTTAATTTCAAGGGAAAAAAAACTTTAAGTAATTAAACAAAATGAAAATTTTAGGCACTTTGACAAAATATCACTTTTAGGCAATTGCGCAAAACAACAGCTTCAGGCAGTTAGAAAAAAAAAATCACCTTTAGGCATTTTGACAAAATATCAACTTTAGGAATTTAGAAAATTTAGACCAGTGGTTCTTAACCTGGGTTCGATCGAACCCCAGGGGTTCGGTGAGTCAGTCTCAGGGGTTCGGCGGAGGTCCAAAAAAATCAGGAAAAAAAAAAAAATTTATATTTCCTATAAAGAAGGGTTCGGTGAATGCACAAACGAAACTGATGGGGTTCGGTACCTCCAAAAAGGTTAAGAACCACTGCTTTAGACAATTGAAAAATATCAACTTGAGGCTATTAGACGAAATATCAACTTTGGGCAATTAGACCAAACATCGACTCTAATCTAATCTATTCCTGTCCGTCCGAGTCAGCAATAATGTGAATGCATAAGCCTTGCTAGAAAGACTGACATGTTGATTCACTGACCTCCATGTTGTTACAGCAAACTGCAAGAACATTTAGACCAGTACATACGAGGCAAGACGAAAGCGAAGATTCTTTTACCGATGTGTGGAAACTCGTTCGACATTTACAAGTAATGTTGGTGTCCTATCTTATCACTGGTCACCTCCAAAATGACGTCATTTACAACCTGTCATTGGTCGTCTAAAATGACGTCATTTAAAACCTTTCATTGGTCGTCTAAAAATGACGTCATTTACAACCTTTCATTGGTCGTCTCTAAATGACGTCATTTACAGCCTTTCGATTGACGTCTCTAAATGACGTCATTTACATCTAACTAATTTACGTTGTTTAAATGACGTCAATTCGACTCTTTTATATGTCGTCTCTAAATGACGATATTAGAACCCTTTATTGGTCGTTAAATGACGTCAATTTAAAATTTTCATTGGTCGTCTGAATGACGTCAGTTTCACCCTTTAAATTGTCTTTTAAATAACGCCATTATAGTAGAAGATGTTCCAACTTTGTTTGGTGTATGAAATTCAATTTAAAAAAAGACGTATTTGAATTGTTTTAATAATCAAGTTTCTATCATCAATGGTGTTGTGACGGAATGAAAGGATTCATTAGAGCAGAGCCCCAAAGTTATCCCTTCACGGCACACCAAGACCCTTCCAGATTTCCGCGGCACAACACGATTAAAACATTAAGACGGCACACCAAGCATCTGGTGTAGCAGCAAGCTTAAATATTTTAAAAACTAAATATATCCTAGTAGTAATTCACATATTGCCAGATGTTGTTTTTTAAAGTTTTGACATTATGTCTTACAGCTTTGGTGATATGGGACATGAAGTTGTAGGAATTGAGTGTTCAGCTTTGGCCATCAGATCCTTCTACGGGAAACACAATCTTTCTTTTACTAAAGAACCGTGCCCGGACGTACAAGGGACTTTATATCAAGTACGTCTGTCCTTACAATTGACGACACATTTCATGGCACAATTTATGACACAATTCATGACACAATTTATGACACATTTCATGGCACAATTTATGACACAATTCATGACACAATTTATGACACAATTCATGACACAATTTATGACACATTTCATGACACAATTTATGACATATTTGATGACACAATTCACGACAAAATTTATGACACAATATATGACACAATATATGTCAAATTCATTACACAATAATTCAATTAATGTTGAAAATAAGAACATGTATGACCTGAAACTTTTGACGTATATCTCTTATAATTAATTATTTTCTTTAGCTTAATTACGACCCCCATGAGCGCCAATATTTAGAATGTTTCTCATATTAGGTCTACACAATCTTATATTTTAATATTTACTTTTTTATTTTCATAATAATATGTCTAAATGAGAGTCGATCATTTATTTGCTTGTTGTAATCATTAATCCTTTTATAAAGCTCTGCATTAATCAAATCAAAGCAGTTATCTTTAAATGAAATAACTTTTTTAAACATAAATTTTCAAGTTTGACTAAAGAAATACTTTATGATAAAATTATTATTCGCCTTCAGAGCAAGGATAAGACCTACAAGATCTATTGCTGTGATTTCTTTGACTTCAAGCCGTAAGATTTAAACTAGTTTTATATTGATTTCTGAAAGTGTGGGAGAGCAACTCTTTAGTATGGCTGCGACTATTCGTACCCGGAAGTGAGAGTTTGGGATTAAAAAACTATTTAAAATATTATTGTTGGGTTGGTAAGACAGAATAAGGTATCAAATGAAAGATAATTTAATGGACTATATGTTTGTAAACTTACTTCTTCAGTTTAATTAAAATGTAACTCCCACAAATGACCTCCGAATGGGATTTAGTCTAAAGCAGGGGTCTCAAGTCGCGGCCCGCGGGCCATTTGCGGCCCGAAAGACGATATTTTGCGGTCCGCTACCTGACAGCAAAGTTTAGCATTAATGCGGCCCGCGCGTTCTCCACATTCTCATATATATAATGTGACCCTCTGCGACGATTTCAGTCTAATCTCCGTGAGAGACGGACTATCGCTTTGTTGAGCACAGGAGCATTCAGACGTGCCTTATAAGCACCGAGGAAGTTGCGGTGCACAAGGAGTACAACATCAGGCGTCATTATTTAACCAAACATGCTGAGGAGTATGCAAAATACCAGGGAGATGAGAGAGAGGCCCGGGTTGCTAAACTTAAAACATGTCGACTGAGGCTGCATGATTTTTTGAAGACAGCAAACAAAGAAAATGATGCAGCAGTTGAAGCTAGGTACGTGGTGAGTGAGATGATTGCTAAGTCAGAAAAGTCATTCAATGAAGGCGAGTTCATAAAAAAATTGCAAGTTACAAGCTGCAAGTTTCGTCTGTCCGGAAATAAGGGTCGGTTTAGCAACATCAGCCTTTCTGCCAGCACAGTGGCAGAGCGCATGTCTGAGCTGTCAGATGACATTTATGATCAACTGTGCGAGAAAGATAAACATTTCCAAGCACACTCAGTCGCTGTTGATGAGAGCTTAGATGCTACTGATACTTCAAAGCTCACAATATATGTCCGTGGTGTTGATGCTAATTTTGAAGTGATAGAGGAGTTGCTCAAAATGATTCCAATGCACGGCCAGACCACTGCTCAGGAGATATTCCGCCAGCTGTGTGACGTCACTTGGGATGCCGGTTTACAGTGGGAAAGTTATGCAGGAAAACAATCGACAGAGCGTCATCAATGACAGGGAAAATAACTGGACTCGTGGCACATGTTCAAAGAAATCTGGAAGAGGAGGGTGTGGAAGAGGCCATTGCTACACTGCATTATCCATCAGCAGACGCTTTGCAGCAAATGCCTCAAGTTTGACAATATGATGTCTGACTTTGTGAAATGCATCAACCATATTAGATCCAGGGGCTTGAAGCACCGGCAGTTCCTTGCCTTTTAAGAGGAAATAGAGTCAGCACATGAGGATGTTATCTACTCACCGAGGTACGTTGGCTTAGTAAGGGAAACGTCTTGAAAAAGTTTTTTGAGTTGAGATCAGAAATCAGAGCCTTCATGGAGAAGGATGGGGTGGTTGTTCCTGTACTAAATGATTCCAAATGACTTATGGACTTGGCTTTTCTTGGTTACATTACACAGGAGCTGAATGCACTTAACATGACTTACAAGGCCAGGGCAGCTTGTTAGTGTTGCCTATGATAATGTTAGGGCATTCTGCACAAAAAGTGTGCTATGGTTTCTGAGAGAAACCTCTGCAATTTTCCAACATGCAAAGTGGTCATGGACTCGGGCAGACTATTCAGTAGTAAGTATACTGATGCCATTGAAAAGCTACAGGAAGAATTTGATCAAAGGTTTACAGACTTCAAAACACACAGAGCCACTTTTCAAATTTTTGCTGGCCCTTTCTCCTTCAATGTGGAAGATGCCCCCCCCCCCAACCTTTTTGCTCTTCAAATGGAGCTGATTGAAATTCAGTGCAATTCTGGACTCATGCTAAGTTCAGGGAGGTGAATAGAAAAACAGACACGCTTGGACAATTTATGAGAGCATTGCACTCCACCCTCCCTGAGATATCAAGGTTGTTCAAGCGGATCATGTGCCTTTTTTGGGGAGTACTTATATATGTGAAAAGCTCTTCTCACTATGAACTTTAGCAAGTCAAAGTTCAGGGCGAAACTTACTGATGAAGATCTTCAAGCTATAACATGATTCAGCTGTTAAAATGTCCAAAGTTTTACTATTAAAAGTAGTGTTACAATTAAGCATTAGATATTGCTGTCTATATTTAAACACTCTGCTGACTAATGATCAAATTTAAGATTTAAATTTCATGTCAGATCTATCGGTTCTGTTTTGTCATCGCCCACACAGCTCTGTGGAGGCAAACTTTGATGTTATTGTTGACTTCGGTGCCATGGGCGCCCTGACCAGGGGGGAGCTCCAGAGTTACGCTGATTTGATGAAGCGGTTAACGGCCCCTGATTGTAGACACATTTTAGAATCTTTTGTTTATGACGTCAACAAATATCCAGGTGAGCAATGTGTGAATATCTAGGTGAGCAATGTGTGAATGTTTAGGTGAGAAATGTGTAAATATCCAGGTAAAAATGTCAGTTAATCGCCTTTCCATTAGTTACCTTTTCTTTTGTCCCTCATCCTTCAGTGTAAGTGTATCCCAGTGGTGCAGATTGTTCGTGCACGACAAGTTAATGGTTTTGAAAATATTTCTTTAACACAAGAAGCTTGTATCTATAACACAAGAAGCTTGTATCTATAACACAAGAAGCTTGTATCTTTAACACAAGAAGCTTGTATCTATAACACAAGAAGCTTGTATCTTTAACACAAGAAGCTTGTATCTATAACACAAGAAGCTTGTATCTATAACACAAGAAGCTTGTATCTATAACACAAGAAGCTTGTATCTATAACACAAGAAGCTTGTATCTTTAACACAAGAAGCTTGTATCTATAACACAAGAAGCTTGTATCTATAACACAAGAAGCTTGTATCTTTAACACAAGAAGCTTGTATCTTTAACACAAGAAGCTTGTATCTATAACACAAGAAGCTTGTATCTATAACACAAGAAGCTTGTATCTTTAACACAAGAAGCTTGTATCTATAACACAAGAAGCTTGTATCTTTAACACAAGAAGCTTGTATCTATAACACAAGAAGCTTGTATCTTTAACACAAGAAGCTTGTATCTATAACACAAGAAGCTTGTATCTTTAACACAAGAAGCTTGTATCTATAACACAAGAAGCTTGTATCTTTAACACAAGAAGCTTGTATCTATAACACAAGAAGCTTGTATCTTTAACACAAGAAGCTTGTATCTATAACACAAGAAGCTTGTATCTTTAACACAAGAAGCTTGTATCTATAACACAAGAAGCTTGTATCTTTAACACAAGAAGCTTGTATCTATAACACAAGAAGCTTGTATCTTTAACACAAGAAGCTTGTATCTATAACACAAGAAGCTTGTATCTATAACACAAGAAGCTTGTATCTATAACACAAGAAGCTTGTATCTATAACACAAGAAGCTTGTATCTTTAACACAAGAAGCTTGTATCTTTAACACAAGAAGCTTGTATCTATAACACAAGAAGCTTGTATCTATAACACTAAACACTTGAATACGTTACACTATTAACTAGTGTTGATAGTTATCATAAAGTGCAAGAGTTTCATGGAGACCACATACTCACTGGTTGAGTTATTGTTGATGGAGACCACATAATGGTAGAGTTGTTTCTCTATATATATTCAAACTTAACGCTCATGCTCAAGATAATATCATTTCTATGAAAAGGCTGACAGAGTGTTCATTTTTATTTAAGTCTTTTCAGCGTAATAGATGCCTCTATGTATCATCTCTTATGTCTACATAGTATATGTCCTTATATCTCATGTCACTTTATCTCATGTCTACAGAATCACAGCCCATCTGTTTAACACTGGAACTTCTCCGACAATTGTTTGGTAAACAAGATTTTCATTATCATTTCTCACAGAATATAATGAGCTGGACACTGTTCATCATTTAGAGCAGTGTTACCCAAATTATTAAGTTTGGCGGACCAGTCAATAAGTTTCCCTTTACACAAGGGACCGGTTGACAAGTTTCCCTTTACACCAGGGATCGGTTGATAAGTTTCCCTTTACCCAGGGATCGGTTGATAAGTTTCCCTTTACACCAGGGATCGGTTGATAAGTTTCCCTTTACACAAGGGACCGGTTGACAAGTTTCCCTTTACACCAGGGATCGGTTGATAAGTTTCCCTTTACACCAGGGATCGGTTGATAAGTTTCCCTTTACACCAGGGATCGGTTGATAAGTTTTCCTTTACACAATTTTTTTATAATTGTTCTTTATAGTTTATCCTAAGTTTTTCATAAATATTTTTTAAAAATCTGTAATCCCCCATTTCGATATGACTGGATCAATTATTACCATATAATGACTGGATCAATTATTACCATATAATGACTGAATCAATTATTACCATATAATGACTCGATCAATTATTACCATATAATGACTCGATCAATTATTACCATATAATGACTGGATTGATTATTACCATATAATGACTGGATCAATTATTACCATATAATGACTGGATCAATTATTACCATATAATGACTGGATCAATTATTACCATATAATGACTGGATCAATTATTACCATATAATGACTCGATCAATTATTACCATATAATGACTGGATCAAGTATTACCATATAATGACTGGATCAATTATTACCATATAATGACTGGATCAATTATTACCATATAATGACTTGATCAATTATTACCATATAATGACTCGATCAATTATTACCATTTAATGACTGGATCAATTATTACCATATAATGACTGGATCAATTATTACCATATAATGACTGGATCAATTATTACCATATAATGACTGGATCAATTATTACCATATAATGACTGGATCAATTATTACCATATAATGACTCGATCAATTATTACCATATAATGACTGGATCAAGTATTACCATATAATGACTGGATCAATTATTACCATATAATGACTGGATCAATTATTACCATATAATGACTTGATCAATTATTACCATATAATGACTCGATCAATTATTACCATTTAATGACTGGATCAATTATTACCATATAATGACTGGATCAATTATTACCATATAATGACTGGATCAATTATTACCATATAATGACTGGATCAATTATTACCATATAATGACTGGATCAATTATTACCATATAATGACTCGATCAATTATTACCATATAATGACTCGATCAATTATTACCATATAATGACTCGATCAATCATTACCATATAATGACAGCCCTTAATATATATATATTGGGTTTTTTTCTTTATTGGTTGTCTTCACATGAGGAAAATTATTTTATTTTCAAATGAAGTATTGAATATTAATTTTATTTTATTCATATAAAAATCCCAACTTTAAAAATTGTATTAAAATGTAGTTAATCTCGTAACAGAATTGGTTAATCTCGTAACAGAATTGGTTAATCTCCTACAAGGAATTTATGCAAAACACTGTGTGTCTCATTTCTAGATTTTAAAAAAAAACTATTACTGGAATAACAGGAAATTTTGTTTGATAATTTGATCTCCAGCTACTTCTGTTGTCTGGGACAGACTTTTTGTATACATCGCATCTCCATATTTAAATAATTCTATTAACTTTTCATTTTTTAATTACAATTTATGAAAACAATAAAAAATAATTTGAGCACACTGAAACCATGTGCAGAAAGACTCGTCATACAGGAAGTTATTAAAAGCGATATCATCCCTACATCTCTTCATTACAATGAATTTATTTGAATTTCTTCACTATTGGATTATTTCCAACTTAATCATTTAATACAGAAGTATTACATCACTTTGTGGCAGTAACCAACAAATTATTTGATTAACAAAATTGTTCTGCCATTCTAGGGCATGACTATATAGTGGAAAAGATTGATGAGGGACCAGATCCATATGCTGACGATATGCTACATGAACTGACCAACGGTCAGAAGTATGAAGAAGTGTCCAGCAGTGGCGAGGTTTACCCCGAGATCACAGGAACTGCTTATTTCTTAATTAGGCCTAAACTGGACATTTTGTCCTTATAAGTTTGTTGGACATTTTGTCCTTTTAAACTTATTGGAGTCACCAAAGCTGCCTTCTTGCAAACTATATAATTAATTTATTTTAAAAGTAATTTTGCAGCAAACTCACACAATCTTTTGTACTATTAAAATGATAACATCTGTTAAAAAATATAGCGATCTGTTTTTATATGTTTAATACATACTATAAAGAATAAAATTCCATTGATAACATAATTTACAATTTATCAAATGTGTCAACTACATATAACATACGTAGAGCAGTTCAACACTAAACAAATTGCACAACTAATATGTAAATAAATCTTCATAAATACAATATTTACACTGCATAGTTGATTATCAAAATAAATTTGACACAATATTTATAAACAAACAAAATTGGTAAGATAAATGACAGCAGTACAACAGGTTTAGAGTAGAGCAGTACAGCATGCTTAGAGTACAGAAGTACCACATGTTTAGAGTACAGTAGTACAACATGTTTAGGGTACAGCAGTACAACATGTTTAGGGCACAGCAGTACAACATGTTTAGAGTACAGCAGTACAACAAGTTTAGAGTACACTCAATATCACAGTGCAAATCATCAGTGCACATTTGCCAGTTAGGATTATCAGTCTTACAAGAAACATTTCTTTTAACAATAAAAAGAGTTTTCACAATCAAACAGAAATCATATAAAACTCTTAAAATCCACAAAGAAATGGAAATGCTCCAAGAAAAACTATTCAAAAGATAATTCTCATGGAAAACAGATAAGTTTTTTTTTATACATTAAAAAATTGTGTTGAGTAATTTAATAATATTTGTGACTAGAGGTAAATCAGTTGAGATATTGTTATAGAGGAAACAGTAGCAATGCCCTAGCAGTAGCAATATCCTGGCAGTAGCAATGCCCTGGCAGTAGCAATGTCCTATCAGTAGCAATGTCCTATCAGCAGCAAAGTCCTGATAGTAGCAATGCCCTAGCATTAGCAATGCCCTAGCATTAGCAATGCCCCAGCAGTAGCAATGCCCTAGCAGTAGCAATGCCCCAGCCATAGAAATCCCCCAGCTGTAGCAATGCCCCAGCAGTAGCAATGCCCCAGCAGTAGCAATGCCCCAGCAGTAGCAATGCCCCAGCCGTAGCAATGCCCCAGCATTAGCAATGCCCCAGCAGTAGCAATGCCCTAGCAGTAGCAATGCCCTAGCAGTAGCAATGCCCTAGCAGTAGCAATGCCCTAGCAGTAGCAATGCCCTAGCAGTAGCAATGCCCTAGCAGTAGCAATGCCCCAGCAGTAGCAATGCCCCAGCAGTAGCAATGCCCCAGCAGTAGCAATGCCCCAGCAGTAGCAATGCCCCAGCAGTAGCAATGCCCCAGCAGTAGCAATGCCGTTTAATGTTGTTGTTGTTTTGTTTAAGTTGTTCAGGTAGCAATGACAAATAAAGTTTTAATATAATTTTTTTCAACTAAAACTGTTTGGCAGCCACTTTAAAACCGATTTGTTCATCTATGTTTAAAACTGTTTGGCAGCCACTTTAAGAACAGAAAGGAGAAATGTCATATCCCCACACAAATCACCACCTTGAAACAGAATATGTTTCATTCATTTTACGTCTTAATCACAAAGCGTCCAAGACTTTCAGACCGAGCTTTAACTCCTTTAACTCCTTGCGCATTAAATACAAATCAAGTTGAAGTGTGGACCAACACTGTTGTTTGATACCTGCAACTAAAAGGGAAATATGTTTAAGTTTTGGCTGACAGTAAGATGCATTGCTGTAGGTTAGCTTGTCACCAGAGTTGATCTTTTCTTCACCTTGTCACCAAAGTTGATCTTTTCTTTAAACTTGTCACCAAAGTTGATCTTTTCTCTCAACTTGACAGCAGTGCATGTAATGTTGTTGCTGATGAGGCTGCAGATACAACTGGACTCACAACTATTGTTGCATATTCATTCATAGCCTGAAAACATACAAATACATTTTAACAGGTAAAAAAACAAACTAAATGCTGCAGATGGTGACATCACTGATGTTGCTGTCATCTGGGGTGGCCTTGCCACTGAGTGACGTTACTAGCTGCATCCTTATCACATTTGTAATACGAAGTATTTATTTTTAAATCACAAATTACACATGAGATAGGTTTATAAATTATTACATAAAATGACAGAGCAAATGTCTTACGCGTTTAAAGATGTATTTGATATATTATTATGTAATTATAAAATGTATGCCTATAGTAAGCAAAATTTTTTTTACTTCACCAGGTAAATTTGCTGAAGAGTTTAAACCAGTGGTTCTCAGCCCTTTTTCATCTGCTGACCGGATAACTTATGTAAAATTTGTGGACCACTATTTCCTGTGTGGGTGGGGGAAGGAGATGGGGGTAAAATCTAGTCCATCGAATGTCTGGAACTTATGAGAAAACAATGCTCAAGTCAGGCAAGGAAAAAGAATCAGAAAATCTGCTTTAGGATGAAGGGCATCAGGTTTTCATTTCAAATAACTCATTGTGCACTGGCTGCTGTCTGTGAGAACCACTCATTTAAACAAAAATGGTGAAAACTATTTCACTTCTTCTAACATTATCCCATTGTCCTAATCCTAGACAACCAGAGCTTGTACGTCCTGATTGAGCTTAGTTCACTTCTTCTAACATTATCCCATTGTCCTAATCCATAGACAACCAGAGCTTGTACGTCCTGATTGAGCTTAGTTCACTTCTTAGACTCTAGAACCTTCAACATACTCTCTAAACCAGACCTGCATAAGATAAGGCCGTATGCAGCCCGCCAGCATCCACTTTGTGGCCCTTGCAGTAATGAAATATTCTTATTTTCATAATAGTTTTCCCCACTGTCCTATTTTTTTTTTTGGCCAGAACTGTTTATTATAAAGTATTGCGGCCCACAATACATTTTGAGTTATGCAGGCCTGCTCTAAACTAAACACCATCCAGTTATATTAATTAACCTACTTACGTTATAAAGAAGGGAATATTGTTCTTTGTTCTGAATGACACCAGCTCTTTCCTGCCGCATTAAGTACACAGTTTTGAGGACATCAACAATTCTGCGTTCTTCAAACTGCCTCATGCAAAGGTCAAGGGCAATAAAAGTGCCTGTTCTTCCAGTTCCAGGACTGAGAAAATGAGTAGGAAAAAAAATAATTTTATTCAGTAAAAAGTATTTAAATTACAAAAATTATATCAATGTAACACAGTTGTCAGAGGAACACAGGTGTCAATGTTACATGTTGTGATGCTAGATGACTAGCTGTCCAACCATAAAGTTTTGTATCAACACACTAATATAATTATCATTTAGCATCAATACACAAAGATTATAAAAATATAAGAATCTGATCTCTAATTTTTTTTAAGAAGTCATTCCAAGCCTATTTTTTTAAATGTCAATGCTTGATACATTATCTAATTTTTAAAAACATCCTTATACAATTCTTAGAAAGAATACGAATAATATTTTTAGTGTACACTTGAAGTAGTTTCCTCAAGCCTACCTGCAACGTACATGTACTGTCATGCTTACCTGCAGTGTACAATTAAAGGTGATCCACTGCCTTCATACTTGGGTCTTGTATCCAAAACTAATTTAACCAATGAGATTGGCTCTGGCAGACCATGAGCAGGCCAACAGGTATACCAAAAATGATAGACTTCTCTTTTTTCAATTTTCTGAAGGTAATGAGATTTGCTAATTTGCTTTCATTTTAAAAATTACTTATACTTTTATAATCTAATAAAATATGATTTATATTTGAAAAAAAGTAGATTATTTATATAAGAAAAAACTAGATCTATTTATAGCAGGAGCTGAATGTTTGTCATCATTACATCAGTGAATATATTTTGCAGAGAATTTAGAGTTTTCAGGTTAAATGAAAGACATGAATGAATTACAGAACTGATGAAAATAATAGTTTGAGTTTATTTGGTTTCATGTTTCATGTCTGTTTGTAAGTTACATCTGCAGTTTAATTATATCATTGCCAGATGACATCTGCAGTTTAATTATATCATTGCCAGATGACATCTGCAGTTTAATTCATATCATTGCCAGATGACATCTGCAGTTTAATTCATATGATTGCCAGATGACAAATGCAGTTTTATTCAAATGATTGCCAGATGACATCTGCAGTTTAATTCATGTGATTGTCAGATGACATCTGCAGTTTAATTCATATCATTGCCAGATGGCATCTGTAGTTTAATTCATATGATTGCCAGATGACAAATGCAGTTTTATTCAAATGATTGCCAGATGACATCTGCAGTTTAATTCATATTGTCAGATGACATCTGTAGTTTAATTCATATCATTGCAGATGGCATCTGTAGTTTAATTCATATCATTGCCAGATGACATCTATAGTTTAATTCATATCATTGCCAGATGACATCTGTAGTTTAATTCATATGATTGCCAGATGACAAATGCAGTTTTAATCAAATGATTGCCAGATGACATCTGCAGTTTAATTCATATTGCCAGATGACATCTGTAGTTTAATTCATGTCATTGCCAGATGACATCTGTAGTTTAATTCATATGATTGCCAGATGACATCTATAGTTTAATTCATATCACTGCCAGATGACATCTGTAGTTTAATTTATATCATTGTCAGTTGACATCTGTAGTTTAATTCATATCTTGCCAGATGACAAATGCAGTTTAATTCATATCATTGCCAGATGATATCTATAGTTTAATTCATATCATAGACAGATGACATCTGCAGTTTAATTCATTTGATTGCCTTAACTTTAAGTGAGCCTCTTCTTAAATATAGTGTCATTTGATTGCCACATTACATTTTAGTGAGTTGCTTACTAAGTATGTGTCATTTGATTGCCACATTACATTTTAGTGAGTTGCTTACTAAGTATGTGTCATTTGATTGCCACATTACATTTTAGTGAGTTGCTTACTAAGTATGTGTCATTTGATTGCCACATTACATTTTAGTGAGTTGCTTACTAAGTATGTGTCATTTGATTGCCACATTACATTTTAGTGAGTTGCTTACTAAGTATGTGTCATTTGATTGCCACATTACATTTTAGTGAGTTGCTTACTAAGTATGTGTCATTTGATTATGAAATTAAATTATTATATACCAAAATATAAACAAACATGAAATGGAATATGGAAAGGATCACAAACACAACCAAAGGATGATAAACACAACCAAAGGATGATAAACACAATTACATCAAAGCCTTGTATCAGACTTACTCTCAGATGGTGGATCTCAAGTTGTGAGGTGATGTATTCTTGCTGCACATCTTTCTGCTTAAGCTCTATCAAAAAGTCACCAAATTTTTGTGCTGCGCTTTTCCCAACAAGTTCTGGCCAGTAGCTGGCACATTTGGACTTAATAGAGACAAAATAGAAGGTTAAACCAGCCAGGAGAAAACATGGGGGAAAGGGGGGTGGAGGGGGGAGACCTCGCATTAACTGCTGTGGAATAGTATCTTGAGGTAAAAATTAAATTTGAATTCAGGAGAGAGAACTCTGTTAAAAAAGTACAAATTAATATTTCACTAAAATGAACTGAAAAACTTTCTTCCAGTGAATATGTTAAATCTTAATGAGATGATATTGATCTTTGTGTTTCAATATTTTACAACTCCTATTTCAAAGAATTTCTAAATCTCTATACTCCCATATAATGTTACGGATACCTGGCCATCTTCCTCCATCTGGGTCAACATGATGATGGCCCTTGAGTTCTGTTGCCACACCATGGTCCAGAAGTCATGAATGGTTGTTTGAGTTGGTGCTTGGGTGGCTATGTAATACTGAGCCTCGTTGTTTGGACCCTGATCGAAAAAAGAAAACATTTCTGAGTTAGTTCATACAGCTTTGAGATTCTAACCAATTGTTAGAGGTCAACCAGTCATTTCAGTGGTCATTTTAGTGTTCATTCCAAGGTTACAACTTCGACCAAAAAAATATTTTTATAGTTAAATGAAAGTAAAATGTATACCGGGGGTATGTGGGGTATTGGTATAATTCAGTAAAACTTATTGATATTATTGGTTATAATTCAGTAAAGCTTATAGGTAAAGCTTATAGGTAAAGCTTATAGGTAAATTTCATTACAATTATTGGTATAGTTCAGTAAATCTTATTGGTATAATTCAGTAAAAATTTCTGGTAAAATTCAGTAAAACTTCTTGGTATAATTTAGTAAAACTTCTTGGTATAATTCAGTAAAACTTATTGGTATAATTCAGTCAAACTTATTGGTATAATTCAATACATCTTATTAGTATGATTTTAAGTTAAAACATCAATGAATGGCTGGTTCACACTGTAAATTTAAGATAGTGAGAAAACTTCAATGAAATTGTTTGACACTTTTAAATGTGCCAGGATTTTAAATAAATACAGAATTCATTTATGTGCCTAATATACTCACTGTGATGTAATTGGCATTTATGTAAGTGGGTCTTGGCTCAGGTCCATCTTGTAATAATGTAACTCTTGTCTGGGCCACTGTAGGATGAACAGAAATAGATCTAATGGGTTGGCAAAGAATGTGGTGTCCTATAGTAACTGGACAAAGAATGTGATGTCCTATAGTCACTGGACAAAGAATGTGATGTCCTATAGTTCCTGTATATTCTTTCATTCCTATTTTTGAAAGACAATTACTCTTTTTTTTTTAACTACCGATATTCCCCCATTCATGAGAAAATCTGTAAAAAAAATCTGTGACCATTTATGGCAGAATGTTTGGCTTACATGGCAGTATGTTGGCGTATCTGTTTTTATCTTCCTCTCCTGTTGGTACAACAGACAGACGTGGCATTCGACTTGGCAGTTGCTGATTGATGAAATTTAGCAACAGACTAAATGAAACATCTTACTTCTAGCAACAGATTAAATGAAACATCTTTAATTTTAATGTATAAAAACATTATTTAAGAGGTAACATTAGTTAATGTATAGTGAAAATTGTATAACCAAATTTTTAATTTAAATTCACTAAGAGCAAACAGATTACATTATAAATTAAAAAGAATCAACAATGTCTGCAGGAACAAATTCATTAGCTGATTGCTGAGCCCTTAGACTTCAATAAAAATGAAATGTTTTTAACATATTTTGGTGGATTCAGTGCTTGGAAAAGATGGGAAGGGCTTTACTAACTGGGGTTAAGGCATTCATAATAATTCTTTTTAAAACACTTTAATACAATATAAATATATTTTATTTTAAAAGATGAAATATGTTTTAATATTGTAATGTTACAACATCTCTTTACATATCAATTTTCAGATCTATATATAGATTTATTTACTCATCTATTTAAAGAGCTACATATATATTTATTTACAGATCTATTTACAGATCTAAATATATATGTCTATTTACTGATCTATTTAACATATCTACATATAGATATATTTACATATCTCTTTACTGATCTCTTTACATATTAATTTACCAATCTATTTACTGATCTATTTACCGATCTATAACAGATCTATTTAGTTTAGAGATCTACTTTGTTACCTGGAATTCTTCACTGATGCGTTTTTCATTAGCACAAAAGTTGGACAACTGCATGAAGTTAAGTGGGTGACTTGGTTGGAGCTGGGGAAAGTTACGTGGACAAACATTTAGTAAAAGTTCATAATTACAGGTACAAAATTACAGGTAAAATATTACAGGCACAATATTACAGGTACAATATTACAGGTAAAATATTACAGGTACAAAATTATGGGTACAATATTACAGGTACAATATTACAGGTACAATATTACAGATACAATATTACAATATTACACTATAATGCGATGATCGGGGTCCATAAAATGGGATCGCGTTAAAAGCGGGGATTGCGTATTTTCATTCGAATCACAGCGGAAATCCCTTAAGTATTACTATTTATAGTTCTACCAGAAGAAAGCCTCGTTTTCAACATTAATTTTGATACTAGTTTGAACATGGTGTGTTTAGGGGCTCATTTTCTACGATATTTTGAAAAGTTGTGATTTTTTTCGCTTTAAAAAATGGCTTTCCAAGCAATGGATAAAATTTTCAAAGAACTTAGGCCTGATGGAGTAAATGAATTTCAAATTTTGGGAGCCATGTTACGACTGCGTTATATCCGAATTCGCGTTATGGCGGGGCGCGTTATAGCGAGGTTCCACTATACAATATTACAGGGTATATATTATGGTACAATATTACAGGTACAATAATGCTACCATACAACATGGCTGGTACAATATTGCAGGTAGTTGTTACTTATTCCAGAAACCAAATCTCTGCAGATTTGGTATCAATCCGTTTGAAAATTGTCACAGTTATTGATCATTAAAATTATTGATCAGTTCAGTTATTGTTCATAACAGATATTGGTCATTACAGGTATTGGTTGTTACAGGTTTTTGTCATTACAGTTATTAGTCATTGCAGGTATTGGTCCTTATAGGTATTGGTCACTAGAAATATTACTCTGAAGCCAGGTTATTAATTGTATTCAAGGACTTACAGAGTCAGTCAGGTCGAGACCTGGGTTGAACAATCCACTGTTGGGTCTCGACTTGGTGACAGATGACAGCTGAATAGAGTCAAGGCTTGAGGCGCTGTGTGAACGGTTGAATGTCGGATTAAAATTGTGCCGTTCTCTATTCCGGCGCCGGAAGATCACCTGTAAAGTAGTGAAGTTATCTTTTTAAGACATTTAATTTATTTTTTAAAATGTTTCCTTTGTCTGTCTAAATATGACAAAGCCTCATTAGTTCATTGCCTGTGTAATTCACTTACAATTAAAATCAGCCTCTTTGAAAAAATGAATCCAGATTAAAAAATTTTCATCCATTCCCCAATTTACTTTTAACTGATCTTGTAATTTTGCTTGGGGTGTTAATTATGTTAGGTCATCTTATGACCATCACCTGAAATATGTTAATTAGATCATGGTGTGACATCACCTGCATTATGTTAGTTAGGTCACGGTATGACTATGACCTGTGTTGTGTTTATTAGATAAATATATTTATATATAAATAGATAAATATATATGACCATCACCTGCATTATTTTAATTTGGTCACAGTATGACCATCACCTGAAATATGTTAATTAGGTCAAGGTATGACCATCACCTGCAAGGTAATAAGTCCAGCACAGCAGCAGCCGCCTACCAGGGAGAGAACCAGTGCAACGGTCACACCAGGATCTGAGAACAAGCTTGGGTCAGTCACTATAGCCGGAGGCTCATTGTGAGAAGGGGAGGTCGTCTCTGGTTTCATGAGAGGGTCTCGGATGCGGACATTCTTTAACTGAAAATGTAATGATGGAATAATCTTTTCACTTTGTGAACCAAATTAAATAAGCGGCTGGTGTGATACATTAAATTGTTAGCTTATTTTTTTACTTGATGATTATCATTGTGTTTGTGTGTCTGTTTGGCTGTGTGGCTTGTTGGCGTCTAGGTGGGTTGGTGTATATGGCTAGGTGGATTGGTGTATGTGGCTAGGAGGGTTGGTGTATGTGGCTAGGTGGGTTGGTGTATATGGGTGGGTGGGTTAGTGTATGTGGGTGAGTTGGTGTAAGTGGCTGGGTGGGTTGGTGTACGTGGCTGGGTGGGTTGGTGTAAGTGGCTGGGTGGGTTGGTGTACGTGGCTGGGTGGGTTAGTGTATGTGGCTGGGTGGGTTGGTGTACATGGCTGGATGGGTTGGTGTATGTGGCTGGATGGGTTGGTGTATGTGGGTGGGCTGGTGTGTGGGTAGGTGGGTTGGTTGATGTGTGTGGCTGGCTGGAAGGGCTGGTGTGTGACTGTGTGAATGGAAGGAGGTCAGGTATGTAGCTTGGTGGGTCGGTGTGTGTAGCTAGGTGTGGCAGTGTATGTGGCTGGGTGGGTTGGTGTGTGAAAAATGTTTAATTAATTATCCTCTCATTAAAATGTTTATTTCAAACTAAGAAACAAGGACATCCGAATAATAATGGACATAATAATTAGGTCTACTAACTTAACTGCTTAAAAAGGACATAATAATTAGGTCTACTAACCGTACTCCTTAAAATATACATAATAATTAGGTCTACTAACCATACTCCTTAAAATTGACATAATAAATAGGTCTTCTAACCGTACTCCTTAAAATTGACATAATAATTAGGTCTTCTAACCGTACTCCTTAAAATTGACATAATAATTAGGTCTTCTAACCGTACTCCTTAAAATGGACATAATAATTAGGTCTTCTAACCGTACTCCTTAAAATTGACATAATAATTAGGTCTACTAACCGTACTCCTTAAAATTGACATAATAATTAGGTCTTCTAACCGTACTCCTTAAAATTGACATAATAATTAGGTCTTCTAACCGTACTCCTTAAAATTGACATAATAATTAGGTCTACTAACAGTTCTCCCTATAATAGATCCTTCGGCCAGGGCATTGGTTTCATTCAAAACAAGGTAGCAAGTCTGTGTTAGTGTTTTGTCGTAATGGTTAAATTTATCCATCAGATACACATGTACTTGGATCTCTTGCGTGCGCTCTGAACATTGCCATTCTTTGTTGAGGACCTTGATCTGAGATAGACAATTGTCACAAATATGGTAAAAACAATAGTCACAAATATGGTAAATACACAAGTCACTAATATGGTAAATACAATAGTCGCAAATATGGTAAATACAATAGTCACTAATATGGTAAATACAATAGTCACAAATATGATAAATCGAATAGTCACAAATATGGAAAATACACTAGTCACAAATATGGTAAAAACGATAATCACAAATATGGTAAATACACTAGTCACTAATATGGTAAATACAATAGTCACAAATATGGTAAATACTATAGTCACAAATATGTTAAAAACAATAATCATAAATATGGTAAATACACTAGTCACTAATATGGTAAATACAATAGTGACAAATATGGTAAATAGACTAGTCAGAAATATGTTAAAAACAATAATCTCAAATATAATAAATACACTAGTCACTAATATGGTAAATACAATAGTCACAAATATGGTAAAAACAATAATCACTAATATGGTAAATACAATAGTCACAAATATGCTAAATACACTAGTCACAAATATGTTAAAAACAATAATCACAAATTTGGTAAATACACTAGTCACTAATATGGTAAATACAATAGTCACAAATATGGTAAATACACTAGTCACAAATATTTTGAAAACAATAATTGCAAAATGGTAAATACACTAGTCACTAATATCGTAAATACAATAGTCACAAATATGTTAAAAACAATAATCATAAATATGGTAAATACACTAGTCACTAATATGGTAAATACAATAGTGACAAATATGGTAAATAGACTAGTCAGAAATATGTTAAAAACAATAATCTCAAATATAATAAATACACTAGTCACTAATATGGTAAATACAATAGTCACAAATATGGTAAAAACAATAATCACAAATATGGTAAATACAATAGTCACACATATGTTAAATACACTAGTCGCAAATATGGTTAAAAACAATAATCACAAATTTGGTAAATACACTAGTCACTAATATGGTAAATAAAATATTCACAAATATGGTAAATACACTAGTCGCAAATATTTGAAAAACAATAATTACAAAAATGGTAAATACACTAGTCACTAATATGTTCAATGCAATAGTCACAAATATGTTCAATGCAATAGTCACAAATATGTTAAAAACAATAATCACAAATATGTTCAATGCAATAGTCACAAATATGTTCAATGCAATAGTCTCAAATATGTTCAATGCAATAATCACAAATATGTTCAATGCAATAGTCACAAATATGTTCAATGCAATAGTCACAAATATGTTCATGCAATAATCACAACTATGTTCAATGCAATAATCACAACTATGTTCAATGCAATAGTCACAAATATGTTCAATGCAATAGTCACAAATATGTTCAATGCAATAGTCACAAATATGTTCAATGCAATAATCACAAATATGTTCAATGCAATAGTCACAAATATGTTCAATGCAATAATCACAAATATGTTCAATGCAATAGTCACAAATATGTTCAATGCAATAATCACAAATATGTTCAATGCAATAGTCACAAATATGTTCAATGCAATAGTCACAAATATGTTCAATGCAATAGTCACAAATATGTTCAATGCAATAGTCACAAATATGTTCAATGCAATAGTCACAAATATGTTCAATGCAATAGTCACAAATATGTTCAATGCAATAGTCACAAATATGTTCAATGCAATAGTCACAAATATGTTCAATGCAATAATCACAAATATGTTCAATGCAATAGTCACAAATGTTTTCGATGCAATAGTCACAAATATGTTAAATGCAATAATCACAAATATTTTTAATGCAATAGTTACAAATATGTTCAATGCAATAATCACAAATATGTTCAATGCAATAATCAGCAAACAATGCAAAATATCTACAACTTATAATTCACATGACTTTAATATGCCCAGATGACTTTAATATGCCCAGATGACTTTAATATTCCCATATGACAGTGATATGCCCAGATCACTCTAATATGTCCTTATGACTTGAATAGGTCCATATGACTTGATTATACCTATATGACTTCAATATGCCCAGATGACTTGAATATGTCCATATGACTTTAATATGTTCAAATGAATTGAATATGCACATATGACTTGAATATGTTCATATGAATTTAATATGTTCATATGACTCGAATATGTCCATATGACTTTATATGTCCATATGACTTTAATATGCCCAGATGACTGTAATATGCCCTTATTCATTAAAACCTTTTAGAATCTATCATTTTCCTGCTCTAGATCAAGGATCTCCCACCTTTATTATATTGGGCACCACTACTAATTGTTGGACTAAGTTTTGCAACTCTTCTAATGATATAACTAAGTCTTGAACCCCTACTCAAAATAATGGCTCCAAATGTTTTGTGAGTTTGAGACAAATGTTACTTTAATCAAACATTGCAAAAATGCGCTCTTCTTGACCTGTGTGTTTCACACACATCAGTGAGTTTTGAAAAACCTCAGCTTCCTGGACAAAAGATGGTCGATACTTTAATACGGTCAGATCCCTGGCTCTTTCATTTGTTGACCTCATAAATTGTTCAGATCACTGGCTCTTTCATTTGTTGACCTCATAAATTGGTCAGATCCCTGGCTCTTTCATTTGTTGACCTCATAAATTGGTCAGATCCCTGGCTCTTTCATTTGTTGACCTCATAAATTGGTCAGATCCCTGGCTCTTTCATTTGTTGACCTCATAAATTGGTCAGATCACTGGCTCTTTCATTTGTTGACCTCATAAATTGGTCAGATCACTGGCTCTTTCATTTGTTGACCTCATAAATTGGTCAGATCACTGGCTCTTTCATTTGTTGACCTCATAAATTGGTCAGATCACTGGCTCTTTCATTTGTTGACCTCATAAATTGGTCAGATCACTGGCTCTTTCATTTGTTGACCTCATAAATTGGTCAGATCACTGGCTCTTTCATTTGTTGACCTCATAAATTGGTCAGATCACTGGCTCTTTCATTTGTTGACCTCATAAATTGGTCAGATCACTGGCTCTTTCATTTGTTGACCTCATAAATTGGTCAGATCACTGGCTCTTTCATTTGTTGACCTCATAAATTGGTCAGATCACTGGCTCTTTCATTTGTTGACCTCATAAATTGGTCAGATCACTGGCTCTTTCATTTGTTGACCTCATAAATTGGTCAGATCACTGGCTCTTTCATTTGTTGACCTCATAAATTGGTCAGATCACTGGCTCTTTCATTTGTTGACCTCATAAATTGGTCAGATCCCTGGCTCTTTCATTTGTTGACCTCATAAATTGGTCAGATCCCTGGCTCTTTCATTTGTTGACCTCATAAATTGGTCAGATCCCTGGCTCTTTCATTTGTTGACCTCATAAATTGGTCAGATCACTGGCTCTTTCATTTGTTGACCTCATAAATTGGTCAGATCACTGGCTCTTTCATTTGTTGACCTCATAAATTGGTCAGATCCCTGGCTCTTTCATTTGTTGACCTCATAAATTGGTCAGATCACTGGCTCTTTCATTTGTTGACCTCATAAATTGGTCAGATCACTGGCTCTTTCATTTGTTGACCTCATAAATTGGTCAGATCACTGGCTCTTTCATTTGTTGACCTCATAAATTGGTCAGATCCCTGGCTCTTTCATTTGTTGACCTCATAAATTGGTCAGATCACTGGCTCTCTCTTGGGTTGAACTCATAAATAGGTCAGATCACGGGCTCTCTCTTTGGTTCACCTCATTAATATAATAAATTACAGGCTCTCTCCTTAGTTGACCTCATAAATAGGTCAGATCATTGGCTCTCTCTTGGATCGACCTCATAAATAGTTCAGATTACTGTCTCTCTCATTGGTTGACTTCATAAATAGGTCAGATCACTGACTCTCTCTCCTGGATTGACCTAACAAAGAGGTCAGATCACTGGCTCTCTCATTGGCTGACCTCATAATAGGGCAGATCACAGGCTCTCTCATTGCTTGACCTCATAAATTGGTCAGATTACGGTCTCTCTCTTGGATTGACCTAATAAATAGGTCAAATCACTGCTTCACTCATATTTTTTCAATCAATTGGTGCTTACTACTCTGATGCCAATAACTACTGACCACTCAACTGATGCTATAACTTATAACAACTCTTCACTCTGATGCTGCCATAACAACTGAGACCCACTCGGACATTTTGTTCAGCAAATTTACTGGAGCAAGTGGCTTGGCTCAAATGTTGGCAGGGTGAATTTGTTCGAGTTGCACAATTTCTCCCACTACATCGGTGTTAGAAACAAGTTGGAATGCTATGAAGTCTTTCAGTCCAGGAGCAAGTTGCAATGCTATCAAGTCTTTCAGTCCAGGAGAAAGGTGGAATGGTATCAAGTCTTTCAGTCCACTCACCTGATCTACTGTAACATTAAGTGTACTCACCTGATCTACTGTAATGATGGTGTGCCTACGGCTCATGATGTCCACAAGCTCGCATTTAATTGGGTCCTCAGAGTTACAGAACCTCTTCCATGACATCGCCAGGTCGAGTTCCACGAAAGAATGGACGCTGCCAGTTAGGTTTAAGTTGTCCGTCTCTGTTCCCTCTAGAGAGTGGAGAGATAATGATGTCATGGAGTTTCTTTAATTTCATAAATAATACTCTCCTAGGCTTCCCTAACATTCCCTCTTTCCCCCTCTCTCTCTATCTCCCTCCCCTCTCTCTCTATCTCCCCTCTCTCTCTCTCTCTCTCTCTCTCTCTCTCTTTCTCTCTCTCTCTCTCTCTCTTCCTCTCTCTCTCTCTCTTTGATCATAATATTTAAATATTAAAAATACACTCTTTCCCCCTCTCTCTCTCTCTCCCTCCCCCCTCTCTCTCTCTCCCCTCTCTCTCTCTCTCTCTCTCTCTCTCTCTCTTTCTCTCTCTCTCTCTCTCTCTTCCTCTCTCTCTCTCTCTTTGATCATAATATTTAAATATTAAAAATACAAATTAAATTGTTCAGTCACACTTCGTCCAATCAGCAGTAAGACTCTTCTACTCCCCCCCCCCCAGCTCACGATCTATGTCCCCGACACAACATCTAAACACCAACAGTGATTCTCATACCCTGAGAAGACCGATATTGCCTAGATCAGGACTTCTCCCATGAGACAAACCTCTGTTAATGTATCCTCTGTCACATCACAAATATTCTGATTGGACAAACCTGGCAATATATTCTCCGGTTGCTGTGTCACCTCTGACCTTTGGTCTTGCCATGTGGTGACGTCATCAGTCATGCCATCAACGCTTGGAGTCGCAAGGGAATGTTCAGCTGAGACCAACTCCGAGCTGGACATTGACGGACTGCCTGACGTCATCAATTTGATGTCATCTTCTGTATCGTTAGTTGGCATTGTTGGTGACCTAGATGTTGCCCAAGTCTGGGCTGAAGGGGATCCAGGGGTCATATGATAGGATGTTCCAATGATAATGACGTCACGTCCTGTAACTGAAGGAGGTGGGGTGCCCCCGGACAGAGTCGACCTGATCAGTCCTGTCAGTGTTGGAGTAGATGGTGTGGTGCCCCCGGACAGAGTCGACCTGATCAGTCCTGTCAGTGTTGGAGTAGATGGTGTGGTGCCCCCGGACAGAGTCGACCTGATCAGTCCTGTCAGTGTTGGAGTAGATGGTGCACGTCTACTTTGAGTCGTGGATGTTCTCTCCAAATATTTTTCTTCTGTCGTCGTTGTTGTACTTGACAAACTTCTTGGTGTCAGTGTCGCGTCAGGCTGCCGGGTGGTCAATGACACATCTGAACTCAACGGTGTGTTTGGGCGTGTACCTACGGGCGTGGTGGTTGTTTGTGAGTTTAAGATGCGTGTACCCATGGGAGTTGTAGTAGTTTGTGTGGTGCCGCTACCGGTTGTTGATGTCGAGACGGTGGGGTGAGCTGAAGTGCTGATGGCACTGATGGCACTGACGGCACTGATGGTATCATGATGTAGATCACTTTCATTCTTAACGTCTTTATCTGTAGTCCCCCGCTCGTGTGTTGGTGGGTCAGGCGCTGTGACATCGTTAGAGTCTTGAAGCGTTGTTCGACCAGATACATCTCCAGATGAATCCAAACTGTTCAAGGTGTCATCTGTCACCGGCTGCAACGGTGTCACACCTGACCGAACCTGTGACGTTGCTGTTAGGTGTGTGGGTGACGTTATCATTTCCGGTTCACTGGCTTGGGTCAATGGATCGCCTCTGGTCATATGACTACCCTCCAAACCCCGTGCAGCTATTTGTGTTTGTTGATGTTGTTGCATATCTGCAGCAGTGGCTGTGGAATACACAAGCGATGGTGAGCTCGGTGTGTTCGTCTGTCTTATCTCAGAGGTTGTCAGCTGGCCGTTATAGGACAGAGTCGGGTCAAGGTCGGCATGGAAGTTGGAATCGGCATCTACTGGAAGTGTCTGGTCACTGTCCTCTTTTATGATATGAACATCCTTCCTAGTTACAGGGGTGTCGTGCTCGTCCACGTCAGAGGCATTGTGGTCAAGCGCTGACCTGTCGTCTCCAGCTTCCTGGGCGATGTTCACATTCCTGTGAATGGACGTTGTGGTAGTTGATGGTGCGTTGCTGATGTCATCGCCTCCCGCTACATCCATCCCATGGGTTGAGACTGTATCCATCCCTTGGGTTGAGACCGCATCCATCCCATGTGTTGAGACCGCATCCATCCCTTGGGTTGAGACAGCATCCATCCCATGTGTTAAGGCTGTATCCATCCCATGTGTTAAGGCTGTATCCATACCATGGGTTGAGACAGCATCCATCCCATGTGTTAAGGCTGTATCCATCCCATTTGTTGAGACAGCATCCATCCCACGTGTTAAGGCTGTATCCATCCCATTTGTTGAGACAGCATCCATCCCACGTGTTAAGGCTGTATCCATCCCATGTGTTAAGGCTGTATCCATACCATGGGTTGAGACAGCATCCATCCCATGTGTTAAGGCTGTATCCATCCCATTTGTTGAGACAGCATCCATCCCACGTGTTAAAGCTGTATCCATCCCATGTGTTAAGGCTGTATCCATCCCATGGGTTAAGGCTGTATCCATACCATGTGTTGAGACAGCATCCATACCATGGGTTGAGACAGCATCCATACCATTTGTTGAGACTAAACTTTCGGTACTATTCGTCTCTAACGAAGGCCGAGTGTTCAAAACGTGAGAACCTTCTATAACACGAGATAGGAAACTGACAGTGCCAGTATCATCCACAACGTGTGCCAATGTCATTTTATCCATGTCATTTTGCTCTCGGACCACGTGACTTGGATGACTTGCAGTTTCTGTGTTGACTTCACTTCCAACGATCTGTGCTGACTGCACTATGACTGTCACGTTATCAAGGGCCGGTCGGGCAGAAGTTTCAGATGGAACCTCAAGGTCAACCTTAGGGTCATCTGCCTCCCTGGCGTTTGCAAGACTGGCCAGTAAGATATCAGAGCCTGGAGCTCCGGTCGGTGTGTGTCCAGGGGTCGGTGTGCCGGTCACTGCGCGATGACCATCACCATCGCTTGTTGTGAAGGAGGAGTGATCTTCTGCGTGGTGATTGCCCCCCACCAGTCCCCGTTTGTTCACCGACAAGTCTTCTTCCAGCTGCCTGGCTGATACTGTGACGTCATCCCATTCGTCCGGTGTGTCGTCATAAACGTCATGTTCTTCGTTGAACGCCGGCGTTGTGTTCAAATTGACGTCATCATGGCTCGAGGCGTCTGACAATGGCATGTCATGGGGCCTCCCAGCCACCCCTTCCGTCATACACAGGAAATAGATGGCTGAAAAAGGGCCAATGGTTTGTTACACAGAGCGAGGAATGAATTGGAGGTCGAATTAGGGGTCGAAATAGAGGACGAATTAGAAGACGAATTAGAAGACGAATCAGAGGTCGAATTAGAGGTCGAATTAGAGGTCGAATTAGAGGTTGAACTAGAAGACGAATTAAAAAACGAATTAGTGGTCGAATTAGAGATCGAATTAGAGGACGAATTACAGGTCTTCTATTTCTTAAAAAATGGGAATCGCTAATACACACATACAGTTGTTATATTGCAAATATACATATGGAGTTGTTAAGTCATTAACATACAAATGAAGTTGTTGTCTTGTTAACATATATATGAAGTTGTTGTCTAGCTAATATACATATGAAGTTGTTGTCTAGCTAATATACATATAAGTTGTTGTCTAGCTAATATACATATAAGTTGTTTGAGTCGCTAATATACATATGAAGTTGTTTTCTTGTTAACATATATATGAAGTTGTTGTCTAGCTAATATACATATGAAGTTGTTGTCTAGCTAATATACATATAAGTTGTTGTCTAGCTAATATACATATAAGTTGTTTGAGTCGCTAATATACATATGGAGTTGTTTTCTTGTTAACATATATATGAAGTTGTTGTCTAGCTAATATACATATGAAGTTGTTGTCTAGCTAATATACATATGAAGTTGTTGTCTAGCTAATATACATATGAAGTTGTTGTCTAGCTAATATACATATGAAGTTGTTGTCTAGCTAATATACATTTGAAGTTGTTGTCTAGCTAATATACATATAAGTTGTTTGAGTCGCTAATATACATATAAAGTTGTTTTCTTGTTAACATATATATGAAGTTGTTGTCTAGCTAATATACATATGAAGTTGTTGTCTAGCTAATATACATATGGAGTTGTTGTCTAGCTAATATACATATGGAGTTGTTGTCTAGCTAATATACATATGAAGTTGTTGTCTAGCTAATATACATATGAAGTTGTTGTCTAGCTAATATACATATGAAGTTGTTGTCTAGCTAATATACATATGAAGTTGCTGTCTAGCTAATATACATATGAAGTTGTTGTCTAGCTAATATACATATGAAGTTGTTGTCTAGCTAATATACATATGAAGTTGTTGTCTAGCTAATATACATATGAAGTTGTTGTCTAGCTAATATACATATGAAGTTGTTTTCTAGCTAATGTACACATGGATTTGTTATATAGCTAATATTAACACAATTCGCGTTTTTAATTTAAACATAAAGTTATGTTGCTGTAGTGGAAGCAATATTTCTGGTTAAAGGGGGATAATATTTAGTCTCTTTTAGAGTTATGTCATGGGCACCTCATTTCTATGTATCCTCTAATGTTGCAACACAGTCATGTCATTGGGACATCATTAATATGTGTTATCTAGTATTTTACAATTTCATGTCATTGACTTCACATGTCTTAGTGTATTCTAATGTTGCCACAACATGTCAATTTTCATTTAAACTTAATTATGACCTAGTTCTACTCACCATAAAACAGAGTCAAGTACTCAGGTCGACACATGGCCTTGTCAGCTGTTAGTCTGTCACGAGAAAACGCACAAACAAGGTTCATGTTAGAGACCGACACTTGACACAGTTTAAAATATCACTGAAATAGCATTCTAAATTTTGATAAGTTATAAAACTTACCATCTCTAGAAACTTTAACAGAACCTACCTTCTCTAGTAACTTTAACAGAACTTACCATCTCTCCAAACTTAAACACTTCAACCAAAACACACGTTTATTGTAAGATCACATAAAGACATATGATGCATTAATTTTTTTATTAAAACGTGTGTAAATTGTACCATAAATAAAATAGTGGAAATCTAAATAGACGAACACAGCATCGAAATTTGCAAAATTAAACACGTCCATTGAAAATAATCTTCCCATCAGCTTATAATCATCAAATAATCCTAGTGTAATCATAAATTATAAATTAATGTCAATCCAGATCGTTCGTCACCAGCATCTACCTACTACACATCTACGCACATCTACACATATCTACGCACCTCTAACCATCTCTACACACATCTACAAACATCTAACCACATCTAAACATATCTAAACACTTCTACACACATCTAAACACATCTAGACACATCTAAACACATATAATGTAATCAAATGACTTATTTAGTAGTACGTTTAGCATGTCGGAAAACTTGTTATAAAAACAGGACATGTCCTACATCCATTTAAGAGTCTGGTGTCCTACGTCCCCTTCAAACCAGCCCCTTCCCCCATTCCCACATGTTTGATATCAATAGCACTCAATGGAGAAAAAAGGCTGTCACGCAACGAGCATCAAGCGTGACGGTGGAACTCAGGGGAGGCGACTATGCTATTAATTGATAAAGAGCCACGAATTGTCTGTAGGCCTGTTGTTTAAAGGCAGGCAGGTAGGGTGTAGGACTGTCTATAGGTCTGTTGTTTAAAGGCAGGCAGGTAGGGTGTAGGACTGTCTGTAGGTCTGTTGTTTAAAGGCAGGCAGGTAGGGTGTAGGACTGTCTGTAGGTCTGTTGTTTAAAGGCAGGCAGGTAGGGTGTAGGACTGTCTGTAGGTCTGTTGTTTAAAGGCAGGCAGGTAGGGTGTAGGACTGTCTGTAGGCCTGTTGTTTAAAGGCAGGCAGGTAGGGTGTAGGACTGTCTGTAGGTCTGTTGTTTAAAGGCAGGCAGGTAGGGTGTAGGATTGTCTTTAGGGCCTATTGTATAATTGTTTAAAGGTTGACAGGTAGGGTGTAGGACTGTCTGTAGGCCTATTGTTTAAAGGCAGACATCTAGGGTGTAGGACTGTCTTTAGGGCCTATTGTATAATTGTTTAAAGGTCGGCAGGTAGGGTGTAGGACTGTCTGTAGGTCTATTGTTTAAAGGCAGGCAGGTAGGGTGTAGGACTGTCTTTAGGGCCTATTGTTTAAAGGTCGGCATATATTATAGAATAGGATAAGTTAACTTATTATTACAAGACTTGGACCAACCAGGGTATTTTCTTAAAATACTCGGAACCAGTGAAAAAAAAAGGCACCTTATTATGCCCTAGTATTACATCAGTTGTTGCGGGTTAAATATTGTGTCAATATCATCAAGTATAAGACACACTAAATCCAGTGTCACCAAGTATAAGACACACTACAGCGAGTGTCACAAATTATAAGACACACTACCCAAATTAACACAGAAACAAAGAGAATGTATTCACATGAGCACGGAACACACTCTGCATTGAAAAGTCTCACCGCAAACAAACGATGCAAACATTAACAGGCGTCTAAGTGGCTTACCGTCAACAAAGTACACAACAACAAGAACTGACCCGAGTCTAAGACTCCTGAACCTGATGCCCACAATGAGACACCCTATCGTCCATGGTGTTTTCGTGTTTTGGAACAGACCCGTCGCAGCCTGACACTGTGTCGTCCGGCATGAAACCTTACACTAGACTTATCATGGACCGGCAACACTATTCATTCATTAACAAAACTGGCTTGAACTCATTGTTCTGTCATCCATGTCAGTAATGTCAACATGAACTCATTGTTCTGTCATCCATGTCAGTAATGTCAACAATATCGTAAATGAGGACAGGGGTGTGGGGTATATCCTCCTATTTAATAATAAAACATTAATCTTTCAACTAGCCGGAGGAGACCAAAAGTAGGAGACCAAAAGTAGGAGACCAAAAGTAGGAGACCAAAAGTAGGAGACCAAAAGTAGGAGACCAAAAGTAGGAGACCAAAAGTAGGAGACCAAAAGTAGGAGACCAAAAGTAGGAGACCAAAAGTAGGAGACCAAAAGTAGGAGACCAAAAGTAGGAGACCAAAAGTAGGAGACCAAAAGTAGGAGACCAAAAGTAGGAGACCAAAAGTAGGAGACCAAAAGTAGGAGACCAAAAGTAGGAGACCAAAAGTAGGAGACCAAAAGTAGGAGACCAAAAGTAGGAGACCAAAAGTAGGAGACCAAAAGTAGGAGACCAAAAGTAGGAGACCAAAAGTAGGAGACCAAAAGTAGGAGACCAAAAGTAGGAGACCAAAAGTAGGAGACCAAAAGTAGGAGACCAAAAGTAGGAGACCAAAAGTAGGAGACCAAAAGTAGGAGACCAAAAGTAGGAGACCAAAAGTAGGAGACCAAAAGTAGGAGACCAAAAGTAGGAGACCAAAAGTAGGAGACCAAAAGTAGGAGACCAAAAGTAGGAGACCAAAAGTAGGAGACCAAAAGTAGGAGACCAAAAGTAGGAGACCAAAAGTAGGAGACCAAAAGTAGGAGACCAAAAGTAGGAGACCAAAAGTAGGAGACCAAAAGTAGGAGACCAAAAGTAGGAGACCAAAAGTAGGAGACCAAAAGTAGGAGACCAAAAGTAGGAGACCAAAAGTAGGAGACCAAAAGTAGGAGACCAAAAGTAGGAGACCAAAAGTAGGAGACCAAAAGTAGGAGACCAAAAGTAGGAGACCAAAAGTAGGAGACCAAAAGTAGGAGACCAAAAGTAGGAGACCAAAAGTAGGAGACCAAAAGTAGGAGACCAAAAGTAGGAGACCAAAAGTAGGAGACCAAAAGTAGGAGACCAAAAGTAGGAGACCAAAAGTAGGAGACCAAAAGTAGGAGACCAAAAGTAGGAGACCAAAAGTAGGAGACCAAAAGTAGGAGACCAAAAGTAGGAGACCAAAAGTAGGAGACCAAAAGTAGGAGACCAAAAGTAGGAGACCAAAAGTAGGAGACCAAAAGTAGGAGACCAAAAGTAGGAGACCAAAAGTAGGAGACCAAAAGTAGGAGACCAAAAGTAGGAGACCAAAAGTAGGAGACCAAAGGTAGTAGACCAAAAGTAGGAGACCAAAAGTAGGAGACTAAAAGTAGGAGACCAAAATTATGAGACCTAAAGTAGGAGACCAAATGTAGGAGACCAAAAGTAGGAGACCAAAAGTAGGAGACCAAAAGTAGTAGACCAAAAGTAGGAGACCAAAAGTAGGAGACCAAAAGTAGGAGACCAAAAGTAGGAGACTAAATGTAGGAGACCAAAAGTAGGAGACCAAAAGTAGGAGACCAAAAGTAGGAGACCAAAAGTAGTAGACCAAAAGTAGGAGACCAAAAGTAGGAGACCAAAATTAGGAGACCAAAAGTAGGAGACCAAAAGTAGGAGACCAAAAGTAGGAGACCAAAAGTAGGAGACCAAAAGTAGGAGACCAAAAGTAGGAGACCAAAAGTAGGAGACTAAAAGTAGGAGACCAAAATTATGAGACCTAAAGTAGGAGACCAAAAGTAGTAGACCACAAGTAGGAGACCACAAGTAGGAGACTAAAAGTAGGAGACCAAAAGTCGGAGACCAAAAGTAGGAGACCAAAAGTAGGAGACCAAAAGTAGGAGAACAAAAGTAGGAGACCAAATGTAGAAGACCAAAAGCATTAGACCAAAAGCAGGAGACCAAAGGTAGTAGACCACAAGTAGGAGACCAAAAGTAGTAGACCAAAAGTAGGAGACCAAAAGTAGAAGACCAAAAGTAGGAGACCACAAGTAGACCAAAAGTAGGAGACCAAAAGTAGAAGACCAAAAGTAGTAGACCACAAGTAGGAGACCAAAAGTAGGAGAACAAAAGTAGGAGACCAAAAGTAGAAGACCAAAAGCAGGAGACTAAAAGTAGGAGACGAAAGTAGGAGACCAAAGGTAGTAGACCACAAGTAGACCAAAAGGGTTTTAAAATGATCTGCCAATGGTAGACCCACATAAGTGTTGCTATCATGCAAGTGTTGCCACCGCACCACCACGCGATGGTATCTAGCAAACGTTTCGTTGCCCCATCAATCCACGCATAAACTCAGGGACTCCCATCCAGTGATATAAATAATTTCCTGTCGGTGAAATTGTGGGAGCAGGAACATTGTTCATTGTACGGTGATCGCCCTTCTATGGCCACGTCAGCAATGGTCTTGTCGAGATCGGAAATAAATTGCTGCGGGCCGGAAGAGTGGGCAGACATGAGCCCTTCCCAGGATGACTACCTCCACATTTGGAGAATCCCCGACCTAACCAAAATAGCGCTAAGAGCGCTTTCCTAGTGGCTGACCTTGACCTTGCATAAACCTTTGTTGTGATTTTCTCATTTATACAATTCTCGTATAATGTTACGTCTTTGAAGTATTTGACGTCACGGAGAGTCTATGGACGTCAACGAGAGTCTAAGAACGTCATAGAGAGTCTAAGAACGTCATAGGATAGTGTTAGAACGTCATGGAGGGTCGACTAACGTCATAGGAGAGTCTGAGAACGTCATGGACGGTCTAAGAACGTCATAGAGAGTCTAAGAACATCATAGGAGAGTGTGAGAACGTCATGGAGGGTGGAAGAACGTCATAGGAGAGTCTGAGAACGTCATGGACAGTTTAAAAAGTCATAGGAGAGTCTGAGAACGTCATAGGAGAGTCTAATTTAGTGGTTTCTAAACTTTCGGTCAACTAAGATGTTTCTTGACTTTCAGCTAACTTAATGTTAGCTCAAATTTTCAGCTAACTTAATGGTAGCTCAAATTGTCAGTTAACTTAATGGTAGCTCAAATTTTCAGCTAACTTAATGGTAGCTCAAATTGTCAGTTAACTTAATGGTAGCTCAAATTTGCAGTTAACTTAATGGTAGCTCAAATTTTAATTTAACATAGTGGTAGCTCAAATTTTCAGTTAACTTAATGGTAGCTCAAATTTTCAGTTAACTTAGGTCTTTGCTAAACTGTCCGTTAACTAAGTTGTAGTTGAACTCTCAGTTAAATTGGTGATATTTCAGCTTGAAGTGCTTCCATATTTCACGTCCTTAGAGCTGGGGGAGGAGGAGTGTGTAACATTTCCCGCGCTAATTCTGTTGACCTCAGTGGATACAGGACTGTGCATTGAAATTATTTGACAGTTTGCAGAGCTTACCCCACAGTACAAAAGTTGATGAAATACTATTTAAATACTTTATTTTCTGGCCAATCTATATCAATACATTTTGTGGTCAATCGATCCTGTTATCACAGCATATCGTTTTCCATTGTTATCTCAGAACTTCGCGGGTGATAAACGTGATCTGTCACAGCTTGGACCTGTTGGTCTCCGGGCTGACAGGAAAGTTTGGGATGTTTACAAACATTGACCCACAAACCAAACCTTGCCAGATAAAGCCAAAGAAAAGAAACTTTCAGTCAGGTCGTTTGCAGTCAACATTCAGTCAGGTCGTTTGCAGTCAACCTTCAGTCAGGTCGTTTGCAGTAAACATTCAGTCAGGTCGTTTGCAGTCAACCTTCAGTCAGGTCGTTTGCAGTCAACATTCAGTCAGGTCGTTTGTAGTCAACCTTCAGTCAGGTCGTTTGCAGTCAACATTCTGTCAGGTCGTTTGCAGTCAACCTTCAGTCAGGTCGTTTGCAGTCAACCTTCAGTCAGGTCGTTTGCAGTCAACCTTCAGTCAGGTCGTTTGCAGTCAACCTTCAGTCAGGTCGTTTGCAGTCAACCTTCAGTCAGGTCGTTTGCAGTCAACCTTCAGTCAGGTCGTTTGCAGTAAACCTTCAGTCAGGTCGTTTGCAGTCAACCTTCTGTCAGGTCGTTTGCAGTCAACCTTCTGTCAGGTCGTTTTCAGTCAACCTTCTGTCAGGTCGTTTGCAGTCAACCTTCTGTCAGGTCGTTTGCAGTCAACCTTCAGTCAGGTCGTTTGCAGTCAACATTCAGTCAGGTCGTTTGCAGTCAACATTCTGTCAGAGATTGCCACATTGTTACAATCGTCCAATCAGTGATTGCAATATTGTATATATATTTTATATAAAGACATATTAATGATTGTGAGATTTGGAAGTTGAGGGGGGGGGGGTCAAGAAAATATATTTATTCTAATACCGTATTTGATAAACAGTACTATCAATTTGTATAAAATTTTAGACTTTATTAACATAGTAGAGTGTTGGACATTTGGGTAGTGGAGTGTTGGACATTTGGGTAGTGGAGTGTTGGACATTTGGGTAGTGGAGTGTTGGACATTTGGGTAGTGGAGTGTTGGACATTTGGGTAGTGGAGTGTTGGACATTTGGGTAGTGGAGTATTGGATATTTGGGTAGTAGAATGTTGGACAATTTGGTAGTAGTGTTGGACATTTGTGTAGTAGTGTGTTGGACATTTGGGTAGTAGAGTGTTGGACATTTGTGTAGTAGTGTGTTTGACATTTGGGTAGTAGAGTGTTGGACATTTGTGTAGTAGTGTGTGGGACATTTGGGTAGTAGAGTGTTGGACATTTGGGTAGTGGAGTATTGGATATTTGGGTAGTGGAGTATTGGATATTTGGGTAGTAGTGTGTTGCACATTCGGGTAGTGGAGTGTTGGACATTTGGGTAGTTGAGTATTGGATATTTGGGTAGTGGAGTGTTGGACATTTGTTTAGTGGAATATTGGATATTTGGGTAGTAGAATGTTGGACAATTGGGTAGTAGTGTTGGAAATTTGGGTAGTAGAGTGTTGGACATTTGGGTAGTGGAGTGTTGGACATTTGGGTAGTGGAGTATTGGATATTTGGGTAGTGGAGTATTGGATATTTGGGTAGTAGTGTTGGACATTTGGGTAGTGGAGTGTTGGACATTTGGGTAGCTGATTTTTGGATATTTGGGTAGTGGAGTGTTGGACATTTGGGTAGTGGAATATTGGATATTTGGGTAGTATAATGTTGGACAATTGGGTAGTAGTGTTGGACATTTGGGTAGTAGAGTGTTGGACATTTGGGTAGTGTAGTGTTGGACATTTGGGTAGTGGAGTATTGGACATTTGGGTAGTAGAATGTTGGACAATTGGGTAGTAGTGTTGGACATTTGTGTAGTAGTGTGTGGGACATTTGGGTAGTAGAGTGTTGGACATTTGGGTAGTAGAGTGTTGGACATTTGGGTAGTGGAGTATTGGACATTTGTGTAGTAGAATGTTGGACAATTGGGTAGTAGTGTTGGACATTTTGGTAGTAGTGTGTGGGACATTTGGGTAGTAGAGTGTTGGACATTTGGGTAATAGAGTTTTGGACATTTTGGTAATAGAATGTTGGACATTTGGGTAGTGGAGTGTTGGACAGTAGGGTAGTGGAGTGTTGGAAATTTGGGTTGTGAAGTGTTGGACATTTTTATATATACGCTTATAAATATAAATATTGGAGCATTGAATATAAATTATTATTTTATTATTTAAATCAAATTTAAATAATATCTTCATGAATGTGTTTAAGTTTTAAAAAACGTTTGAAAAATAATGGAGTTATAATATTTTAACATGTAAACATTTACTTAGGTAAGAATTTATTCTTCTATGTATGTCAACGTCAGCTTAAATGATAGACAAAAAGAACACAATGCACAGTGCACATGAAAAATCTTGACCTAAATAATAATTTGCAAGAAACAAAAATGACACATTTCGAACATTTATGACACAAAACAAACATGACACACTTCAAACATTATGACACACAACAAACATGACACACTTCAAACATTATGGCACACAACAAACATGACACACTTCAAACATTTTGATACACAAGAAACATGACACATTTCAAACATTATGACACATGAGACATTTCAAACATTATGACACACCACATACATGACACATTTCAAACATTATGACACACAACAAACATGAGACATTTCAAACATTTTGATACACAAGAAACATGACACATTTCAAACATTAGGACACACCACAAACATGACACATTTCAAACATTATGACACATGAGACATTTCAAACATTACGATACACAATAAACATGACACATTGCGAAAATTTTTGAAACTATTTTCTATCAAAGAGGAACACAGACAATTCAAATGGACAGACAGACACGAATGTTGACATACCTACTGCCAGACCAACACAACTTGACACACACACATACACACACACGTATGTTGACATACCTACTGCCAGACCAACACAACTTGACAGACACAACATGAGAGTCACAACTGACAGGAAACAACCTGACAGACACAAAAGGATATTGACATACCTACTGTTATACCAACTCAGGCCTCACTTTGTTGACGGGTCCATCATCCAACAAACGATATGTCCAAAAATAAGTCTGTCTTGTCCAGGTGTCGGCCAGACACTAGGGAACACAAGCACGGCCATTAATCTAGTACTCACAATGACTTAACTTGGTTCATTAAACGAAACACAAATGTCCACGAAAACCCGGTGAGTGTGTGAGGTACGCGTTAAAATTTAGACGCGAAAATTCAATGATATTATTGAAAACACCAGTTACTATAATTATCAGATGTGCTTACGATGAGCCAAGATTGGAGATAACAGGAAGCAGATAAAATTGTCGGTGTACTGTAGTCCACCACACACCATCTCTTGTCGTCCACCACACACCATCTCTTCTAGTCCACCACACACAATCTCTCGTAGTCCACCACACACAATCTCTTGTAGCCCACCACACACAATCTCTTGTAGTCCACCACACACCAGCTCTTAATGCATGAGATCAAAATATCTTGGTCGGCGTATCCAATCTTAAAGCGTTTATCGCAATCCGTTCAAATGAGTGGGATACCAAGTAGTGCCCCCTGTTTCCTTTCTTGGACCTTGTGAGTGGCCGTCCCAGAAATAGTTATCGCTTTCTATCTCCTGCTCTGAGTGCCACACATGCCCCCCCCCCCTTTTTGTCAAACACAGAACGCCTCGAAAGTCGTGCCGGCGTGTTGAATGTTGGTATAGCCTTCAACCTGCCCTGTTGATTCCCGCGACCTTTTGGTGTGGCTGAAATAGGTGACCCGGGGGGGGGGGGGNCACAGAGGCTATACTGTTAAATCAAATGTCTGGGCATCTGTCACAGAGGCTATACTGTTAAATCAAATGTCTGGGCATCTGTCACAGAGGCTATACTGTTAAATCAAATGTCTGGGCATCTGTCACAGAGGCTATACTGTTAAATCAAATGTCTGGGCATCTGTCACAGAGGCTATACTGTTAAATCAAATGTCTGGGCATCTGTCACAGAGGCTATACTATTAAATCAAATGTCTGGGCATCTGTCACAGAGGCTATACTGTTAAATCAAATGTCTGGGCATCTGTCACAGAGGCTATACTGTTAAATCAAATGTCTGGGCATCTGTCACATCAGTTTCTTTGCTTACTGTGACGTCAGTTTTTGTGGCAGTTTTCGCACAACTTTTTTTTTCATCAATAAATTGAATAAATCAATAAATTGAATAAATCAATAAATTGAATAAATCAATAAATTGAATAAATCAATAAATAAAAAATCCGATTTATTATAGAGCCACTTTAGAACAACTGGCTTCACGGAAGAAAGTAGCTCTCCTGCATTTGAGATAACATCATGTTATTGGATTTGAACTTGCCTCCCCTACATTTGAGATAACATCATGTTATTGGATTTCAACTTGTCTCCCCTACATTTGAGATAACATCATGTTATTGGATTTCAACTTGCCTCCCCTACATTTGAGATAACATCATGTTATTGGATTTCAACTTGTCTCCCCTACATTTGAGATAACATCATGTTATTGGATTTCAACTTGTCTCCCCTACATTTGAGATAACATCATGTAATAGGATTTGAAATTGTCTCCCTTGCTTTGTGTGAAAACATAGATTGGATTATTTGAAAACGTAAGCAAATCTGGTCATTCCATTTTTATTTTAGCATGTGATTTCTGATCATTCTATGTTTATTTAAACCAGCTATTCCCTTCTTTGGTTTTGTCATCTTTAATTCTGTGTCGAATTTTGAATTGTATAGTGTTCACAACTCAACTACTAAGTTAGTTCTAAAGGCAAAGAAAAGTGATCACGTCACTCCACTACTTCAATGGCTCCCTTTACAGGCACGCATCGATTACAAGTTGTCTGTTCTCTGTCCCAAATTTGACTCTGGTGCCTGCCCCTCCTATCTTACTGAACTTCTCTCTGTCTCTTCACCCCTTCGAAAGCTTCTTTCCTCCACCGACGCGCGTATTCTTTCTGTTCCCAGAACGCACTAAAACATACGGTGAACGATCGTTCTCTTTCTGTGCCGCAAAACAATGGAGTTCTCTCCCATGACACATCCGCAACATACCGACCATCCCGGCCTTCAAAGCTGCACTCAGACCCATGTCTTCAAACACTACTACTCCGACACATGCTCACCCCCCACCCTTCCCTCTGACTCATAAACAACGCTCGATGCTGCTGGGTGCCGCCCATGGTAGACAGGGGTACACAGTACTTGGGTGGGTGAGCTCAATATGTTTACAAGAGCTGTTTTTAATTGAATAATTTCATGTAACTGTTTTTTGATGTCTTGTTTCTTTTTTCTTTTTTTTTGGTGCTAATTTTATGTGAAGAGCAGTGAGCCTAGCCCTAGGCTGGGGTACCGCGCTATCTAAGGCCGATGTACTACTACTAATAATAATAATAATATAAGTATTTGTTTCTTTCCAATCTATTATTCAATTTATTGTACACTCACCACTGTCTTGGCAAAACAAAGTACACGTTTTTATCCAAAAAATAGTTTCTAAAATAAATAAAAATCCTTTATTTCTACTCAAACCCCAACCTCATTTAGTCACCTCATTTAGTCACCTCGTTTAGTCACCTCATTTAGTCACCTCGTTTAGTCACCTCATTTAGTCACCTCATTTAGTGACCTCATTTAGTGACCTCATTTAGTCACCTCATTTAGTCACCTCATTTAGTCACCTCATTTAGTCACCTCGTTTAGTCACCTCATTTAGTCACCTCTTTTAGTCACCTCATTTAGTCACCTCATTTAGTCACCTCGTTTAGTCACCTCATTTAGTCACATCATTTAATCACCTCATTTAGTCACCACATTTAGTTACCCTTATTTAGTCAAAGAACAGCGGCACAGACAAATGCCGTGATTTTCAAAAGTTGATTATTTCAGATTGAACTTTCAAATAAAGGTGATAAGAAATTGCAGTCGAGAACTCGACTTTTTGCGAATATCTCAAAATTATGATGCGAAGATTATGGTGCCAAGATTACAAGCTTATGATGCCAAGATTACAAGACTATGATGCCAAGATTACAAGATTAGTATGCCAAGATTATGATGCCAAGACTACGATCAATATTTCTGGATTGTATTAGACTAGTTAGGTTGGAACTGTACAATATGGTGTCAAATAGTTGAGATAGTTTTCTACATTACAACTGTAGTTTTTCTGCGCCCCAATACAATGGAATTCTCTCCCACTACACATCCGCAATATACCGACCATCCAGGCCTTCAAAACTGCAGTCAAAACACATCTCTTTCAACTCTATTATCCTGACTGATACCGCACAATTGCCGAATAACGATGCCGCTTGTTGCCGTCCATGGCTTGACATGTCAAAGTTCTGGGGTGGGTTGTGTGAATATACATTTGTCTTGTTTTGTTGTTACACAGCTGTTTTTTATTAAAATAAATGTATGTTATTTATATTTTCATAATTACGTTTGCTAATAGTGTCATGTACAGCGCGGTGAGCCCAACCCTAGGCTAGGGTACCGCGATATATCAGACCACTAATAATATTAATAATAATAATAAGCCACAGGCAGGGGAAGAAACCACAAACCAAGAGATCTCCAATTAAACATAGTTATCTGATTTTATTGATACCAAAAAAAACGAGCTACAATTCACAGATCTGCTGTTCATACATTGTGTGCATATGTTAAACTCACTTCCGTGGAACATATGTTAAACTCACTTCCGCGGAGCCATATGTTAAACTCACTTCCGAGGAACATTTGCTAGACATTCAGAGAGTAAGTACCAGATTACCGCGGTGGCGTGACGTCACGACCCACGTGGCCATTGACGTCATGACATGACATAGAAATCACAGGATTAAAGACACAGTCACCCAGGTCTCAGTGCAGCAGACGCATAAAAAAAAAATACTTTTACAAACGAATTCAACTATTTGTACGGTAAAAAGAAGAAAATATGAGGCAATAGATTTGGTGTGATAAGTAATAAAGATATTTATTTTATTAATCGTGTGATCAATATTTCTATCATCCAGAGAGTGGAATGCAATCTTCGTGATTTTTTCAAATGTTTAAAAAACAAAAATAAACTCTCTCAACTACAAGCTCTCACTCAGCCAGGAAACACATTCTTACGTCACATGACAACAAGGGGGGACAACTCGATCCAACACATACGAATACACATTATTCCAGTTATCACCACTTTGGTGGTCGTAGAAAAATTGTGTTGGGGAAGTGGTCCGCGGCTAGAGAACCTAAATTTGTTACTGGTCTAAGGGGTGACGATGCCTTCAAGGTCATCTGTCTTCATGTCCTTATCAGTCAGCTCGTATTTCTTGACCTCGTTGACATTGCAGTCGGTGAAGCGAATGGGCCTCTTGGGCTTCTGGTCCTTTTCTTGGGGGCCCATGCGGTTGATGGCCTGGAGGTATTGCTGTTAGACAAGAGTACATGCAGTTAAACATGGTGTCCCCTCTAGGGAGGAAGGATGCATTGGATAGCTCGCGTGCATTTGTATTTTAGGAAAAAAAATCTTTAGAAAAATGGCCAAGTAGTCATTATTTTGTCTCACCAGGGGGGGGGGGGGGGGGCAAGTAGTCAGTCTTCTAGTCCCACCAGAGATTCAGTTCAAGTTGTCAATATTTTAGTCTCACCGGGGTGGGGGGAGGCAATTATTCAGTGTTTTAGTCTCACCAGAGATTGGGTTTAAGTAGTCAATATTTTAGTCTCACCAGGGTGGGGGGGGGGTGGGGGCAAGTAGTCAGTGTTCTAGTCTCACCAGAGATTGGGTTCAAGTAGTCAATATTTTAGTCTCACCAGGGTGGGGGGAGGCAATTAGTCAGTGTTCTAGTCTCACCAGAGATTCGGTTCAAGTTGTCATTATTTTAGTCTCTCACCAGAGATGTCAACAAAGTAGTTATTATTTTAGTCTCACCAGAGATGTCAACAAAGTAGTTATTATGTTAGTCTCAGCAGAGATGTCAACAAAGTAGTTATTATTTTAGTCTCACCAGAGATTGGGTTCAAGTTGTCAATATTTTAGTCTCACCAGAGATTGGGTTCAAGTTGTCAATATTTTAGTCTCATCAGTGATGAGGGAAAGCGTTAGTATTGAACACAAATTCCCTCTTCGCCACTAGAAGTTCAGAATAAATCCTTCTTGAACATAATTAATTTGTATTTTCTTTTTGTTCAATGTTCTAGAACAGTTAGTACTTTGATATTAAAATTTTCTGCAAGTAAAAATCCTTTTTTTTTATAAAATTATTTTGTGAAAAGAAATAAATTTGTTCAGATTTCGATAAATCAATATTACAAAAAGATCGATATCTAGACTGGTGATTTCATTTGTTTCTTTTAAAAAAATGAATTATTTGAACAACATTGACACGGATGAGATACTTCAATCAAGTGTTTGAAAGACTTGAACATATTTATAGTCATACTTTATATTTCGAGTGTCAATGGTGTCTGAACAAATATGTGCTCCAAGGTAAATCAGTTGTGACTGAGGTGTTCTTGGGGGAGTCTGTGTTGTGTTTGTTAATGTTGGGTGTGTACGGGTTTGTACATGGGCATAAAGGGGGGGGGGGGGGGTTGGGGGTGGGGGGATAGGGGGGGGGGGGGGGCTTGTGAGTAGGAGGTTTGTTTGTGTACGTGTGGGTGTGTGTGTGGGAGGTTTGTGGGAGGTTTTTGTGTATCTGTGGGTCTGTGTGTGGTTGTGTGTGTGGGTGTGTGGAAGGTTTTTTGTGTATCTGTGGGTCTGTGTGTGGTTGTGTGTGTGGGTGTGTGTGGGAGATTTTTGTGTATGTGTGGGTTTGTGTGTGGGAGTTTTGTGTGTATGTGTGGTTGTGTGGTTGTGTTCGGGCGTTTGGAGGGTTTGTGTGTGAGGTTGTGTGTGGGTTTGTGTGTGGGAGGTTTGTGTGTGGGTTTGTGTGTGGGAGGTTTGTGTGTGTACGTTTGGCTGTGTGTGAAGGTTTGTGGGAGGTTCGTGGGAGGTTTTTGTGTATGTGTGGGTCTGTGTGTGGAGGTTTGTGTGTATGTGTGCGTTTGTGTGTGGGTGTGTTTGCATGTGTGGAATGTTTGTGTGTTTATGTGTGGGTTTGTGTGTGTGTTTATGTGTGGGTTTGTGTGTGGGTGTGGGTGTGTGTGGACTAATACTTACGAATCCCTTGACGACTTTGCCGAAAGCGACGTGTTTCTTGTCGAAGAATCTTGATGACCCCAGCGTGAAGAAGAATTGAGAACCATTGGTGTCTCTGCCCTTGTTTGCCATGGAGACTAGGCCGCCGCTGGTGTGGCTGATGACGAAGTTCTCATCATTGAAATACTCACCGTAGATGCTGGTACCTGGTCGACGAGATGATGCATTGTGTGAAACATGGGTCAAACCATGGGCGGAGATAGGGCAGATAAGGTATTGAACCTGGGTCAAACCATGGGCGGAGATAGGGCAGATAAGGTATTGAACTTGGGTCAAACCATGGGCGGAGATAGGGTAGATAAGGTATTGAAAATGAGTCAAACCATGGGCGGAGATAGGGTAGATAAGGTATTGAAAATGAGTCAAACCATGGGCGGAGATAGGGTAGACTACAATATTGAACAATATAAGGTGAGAGACTGCAACGAACATGTCGGCAGGAAGCCTTCGTCTGCGAAAAAACAACAGAAACAACTGAATAAGTTATATATATAAATATAGCACTTAGCTGAGAAGTATGGTCCGAGAGTGCAACAAATTCTTCTTTCAATATTAAATTTTTAGAGCATCTATTATTTAGCTCACTGTTCATTTTAGCAACATCTATCAGATGATTGAACTATAGACAGTACGTCACATTGATATGACGTCTCGTTGACAGGATAATGGACATAATGTCTCATGGACAGCACTTTCATTGACAGAATTCCTCAATGACAGGATGTCTAATGACATAAAATCTCATTGACAGAACGTCTCCAAGACAGAATGTATTATTGACAGAAGGTCTCATTGACAGAATTTCTCATTAAAAGAATGCTTCAATGACAGGATCTCTCATTGAAAGATAGTCTCATTGACAGGACGTCTCATTAACAGAATGAATCATTGACACAATGTCTCATGACAGAAAGTCTCATTGACAGAATGTCTCATGACAGAAAGCCTCATTGACAGCATGTCTCGCTGACAAAAAGCCTCATTGACAGCATGTCTCACTGACAGAAAGTCTCACTCGTTCACCTTTCGTACTTTAGTGTGGTTTCAAAAAGAATGTGTCTAAAATAACACAGACCATATTAAAGTTAAAGACAAATTATAAATGATGACGTATTACCATTGACAACATTTTAACATTGACGACTTATTAGACAAGAGTTGCTTACTTCCTCTACCGTCCAGACCGAAGACATCACCACACTGGATCAACATGTCTTTGACAACACGGTGACAGTAAGTGTTTCTGTAGCTGATCTTGGCTTGCTGGAAAAGAAAGAATATGGTGATAGTAAGTGTTCCTGTAGCTCATCTTGGCCTGCTGGAAAAGAGCTTTGCATTCTTATACTGGATCTTTTTCATAGAGCATTTTAAATAGCTTCAATCAATTATTTTGACATGGCTCTATAAATTATTTTGACATGGTTCTATCAATTATTTTTACATGGTTCACTCAATAATTTTGACATGGTTCAATCAATAATTTTGACACGGTTCCCCTATTGGCGTGACGAGTCGACTATTCAGCTGAACTAAATCCCTATGTCACAAAAGTCCTATTTCATGATACCTAATTAAGACTGCATCTGAAAGGCCGTGAGTCTTATCTGAGTCAAGTGCTTGCAAAAGTTGATAACATTCTTTACCTCACCATCAAGTATGTAGATCTTTAGTTTTAAAGACAAAAGATAAATTGATTTTGCCATGTATTATTTGTTTAAGCTTTGCATCGCTTGTAAAGACTAACTTTTAGTTTAGCTCGTGAATTATAACTTGAGAACCATTGAATAACTTATCAGTTAAACAACAGAACATTTAGACATCACGTGATTCATGTTGACCTATAGCAATATCACGTGATTCATGTTGACCAATAGCAATATCACGTGATTCATGTTGACCTATAGCAATATCGCGTGATTCATGTTGACCAATAGTAATATCACATGAATGATGTTGACCAATCGCAATCCACAGAAGTGTATTTAAAAACTGAATACTCACATTGGGTCTCTTGTAGCCTTCGCACAGCGTCTTGAAGTTCAAGGACGCGACTGGGGCCGTTTCCCCGAACAGCCCGACCACGACTTTGCCGCTAATATCATCACCATTTCCGTTGTAGTTCTTGACCTCAATGTCGAACACCACTTCGGATGTTATGGTGTAGTTTTTGTTGCAGCTGCCGAAAGCCAGGAGCGTTGCCAGGGCCGTGATGAGAAGGATGAACATGGCGTTTTCTGAAATGGTGGAAACATTGTATGAGAACATGGTGTTTGCTGAAATGGTGGAAATATGAGAGAACATTTGAAATAACTATTTATGACACAATATCTGACCATGCTCAACATCTTAGACATCAACTTTCTGATAATAAGATCAGAAGGTTTCATAGCAACATAGAAACCAAACAACACAGTGTACGAAGTTTTTAAAAAAATCTTATATTAATTTCTTAACTGACATTTTAGACTTTCTATTTAATTTTTTTTTTTTTAAATTACGATAATTTGAAAATAATTTCAAATTTAATAAATTTCACATTTTTAAATACGAGAAGCGCTTCTCTAAACTAGAACGTGTTCCGTTCTTAAGGCTATCATAATAGGACACTCAAGTTGTATAACTGTATGAAACATAGCTTGAAATAAACTGACTTTGAGTGTGAACTAGAGTGAAGATTGTGGCACACACCAGAGCGTCTCTGACACAACTTGGATATGGAGCGGACGGTTTCAAAGAGAAAGAATGTCGGCTACAATTCGAGTATTTAAACCTGGGTCTTCGCCACGAAACCAGGCTGCGGTCCTGGCCAACCGGAGCGGTACCACCTGGGGCCACAAGATGGCGGACGCCCCGGGTACACGTCGGAGATCGATGGCGTGACGACGTATCGATGCGTGGGACAACACGTGTTGATTTTAAATAGTTTCAACCAACGGGTTGATCACAAGGGTCGCAACGTTTACAACCACACACACAAAGTTGATTTTCTGAAAACTTTAGTAGATTATATCAAAGACTCAAATCACCAAAAACATGATTTTTCTAATTGGTGATATGAAGTCTTAACCCTAGCCCCCCCCCCCTCCTCCTGCCTTGAACCCACTAACCCACAAAACTGTCAGGTTTTTTTTAAAGTAAATATCTTTTTTTCTTTCTTTTTAAAGAAAATTTTAAGTATCACCTTTCTGTCATGCCAGTTATCCTTACACACAAAAAAACTGGGTGGATACAATGGCTGCTAGTTGTTAGTGGGTACAATGGACGCTAGTTGTTGGTAGGTACAATGGACGCTAGTTGTTGGTAGGTACAATGGACGCTAGTTGTTGTTGGGTACAATGGACGCTAGTTGTTGGTGGGTACAATGGACGCTAGTTGTTGGTAGGTACAATGGACGCTAGTTGTTGGTGGGTACAATGGACGCTAGTTGTTGGGTGGGTACAATGGACGCTAGTTGTTGGTGGGTACAATGGTCGCTAGTTGTTGGGTGGGTGCAATGGACGCTAGTTGTTGGTGGGTACAATGGTCGCTAGTTGTTGGTGGGTACAATGGTCGCTAGTTGTTGGTGGGTACAATGGTCGCTAGTTGTTGGTAGGTACAATGGACGCTAGTTGTTGTTGGGTACAATGGACGCTAGTTGTTGGTGGGTACAATGGACGCTAGTTGTTGGTAGGTACAATGGACGGATCAACAACCACCCATGTTAGGTCGCTAGTTGTTGGTGGGTACAATGGTCGCTAGTTGTTGGTGGGTACAATGGTCGCTAGTTGTTGGTGGGTACAATGGTCGCTAGTTGTTGGTGGGTACAATGGTCGCTAGTTGTTGGTGGGTACAATGGACGCTAGTTGTTGGTGGGTACAATGGTCGCTAGTTGTTGGTGGGTACAATGGTCGCTAGTTGTTGGGTGGGTACAATGGTCGCTAGGTTGATATGGTTGTACATGTAATAAATTTTATCAATATTAAAAGAAAGGACTTAATGACATTAACTCATTAATAACTTATGTAAAGATGATTTGCTGGGCTCAAGAAATGACCATTCACTCTGTCTTCTCATTTCAAGACACCAAGTAACATGCCCGGAGAAAAACCGGTAGCCGGCTGGTCCCACGTGGCAGGCCACGTCCAAGTATTAATTCAAGTTTTATCTCGAGCCTCAAGACTCACCTGGACGGCCATTGTGTGACACGCCCCGGCCCACCACGTAGCTGAGTTTCAATCCTGGCCTGGATTGTGTAGCGAGGATTTCATGCGGCAGCCGGCACGCGGATTAAAGGACACGTGACCCTAGGACATTAGCAACAGTTTAAAGTGGTCAAATTTATGGAAATATAATAAAAATAATTCAATCCACCCCCCCCCCTTTTTACAACCTTTGATTTCTTCTTATGGTACAGCATCCACTTTACATAGGCATCTTTACTTAAGCATCTTAATATGGGCATCTTTATTTAGGCATCTTAATATGAGCATCTTTATACGGGCATCTTTACATGGGCATCTTTACATGGGCATCTGTACATGGGCATCTTTATATGGGCATCTTTAGATTAACTGTTTCAATGTTGGCATTCAACTCATTAACTTTTTCAATGTTGATATGAAGATGTAGATGCTATAATGATAAAAGATTATTCGTTTATTGGGGTGAAATAAAAATCCAACTTATACATGGTTGCTTTCACAGACAAGAATAACTACGCTGATGGACAATTCAACGTTATGAAAATATGTTTAAACATGTATATATATATTATATATAAAACCTCATAACACTTTTAAAGTATATATATATATATATATATATATATATATATATATATATATTTTATATTTTTTTTTTTTTTTTTTTATATATATTATACATTTTTTTTTTTTTTTGCGAATAAAGATCCGATGTTATCGGGATAATAATGGTATGTCCTTTGCGATGATTTCTAACTGCTATTTCAATAACTCATCACAACTCATAACTTTAAAAATATAATGATATTTACGTTTCTAACAGCATGAAGTTTTGTGAAGTATTTATCTGCTCTATGTTATAGTACAGGCCTACCCTACTCCCTTGCATGCTCCTAAACTACTTTATTCCCCTCTAAACATGACCTGAAATTGTCTAATCTAAAGTATCACTAACTATATCACTTTTGTCACTAAAGAAGTTCATTGAGGGACGATTTCTACGCTAGAGAAATACTTTAGATTTACCCCTTTTCGTGCCCTTGAATTACAACTTTTTTTCTCTAAAAATGTTTAAAAAACATAATCTTAAATTTACAACAAAAATTCTCTCTCTATATATGATATAAATATATATTTTTTATTACATGAATTTGATATATTGATATCTTCATCAAAAGTTTGAAGACACTTTTGCCTTTTAAAAAAACATTCTATACATTATCATAAATCGTAAAACAAAAAACTCTTTTCTCTAAAAAAGAATCTGGCACCCGTTGTTCACGTCTATAGCAGACGTGTGGGTCTTTTTTGTTTAATGTTAAATTATAATAATATACACCCACTTTACTGTTTGCAAAGTGAAACAAACATTTATTTTCATTTTTTTTAAAGGAAATATTAACCCATCTCCATTTTTCAAAATTTAATTTTCAAGTGTGTAAAATGATTGGGTTTTGATATTCATGGATATACTTATATAAATATACCCACATTTTGATGACGTCATGGGTCTACTTATATAAATGTACCCACGTTTTGTTAACCCCATTGAGTTTCTTAATTGGTAAACATTTGTTTGTTTGTAAAAAAGAGAATGTAACGTCTCTTTTTTCACTAATGTAATACCTTAGGATTTAAAGATATTGTCATCCAATTAAAAATGTACACCTCCTATGTCCTAACTCTGATATGTATGTACCTAAAAAGTTTAACTATTTCTCAAATTCATTCCATTATTTTGAGACTTATCTTGTGCTGGCTTGGGCAAAATGACCAACCCCCCAATCAAGATTTTTTTATTAAAATTAATACAATCTTCCACCAGCGTGTAGTCTCTTCCATACCCAAACTAACATATTTTGCACTGTTTATATTTTAAAATCAGCTAGTGATATTTTTGGAATTTAAAAAGTTTAAAAAAAATTAAATGTTAAAAATACAAAGCTAAAATACGTGTGTGTTATATTATCCCATTTAAAAAGCAATCAATTATATTTATTAATTTTAAGAAGAAGAAAGTGCATTAATCAGTTTTGTCATTAAACCAAAGAAACCTAAGAGTTTTGGCCAAATAGGCAATTCGCGGTATGACGTCATTTGCTTGACTATCTTTAAAAAATAATTTTAATTTTATTTCGCAATATTAACAACGCACTAAAAGGCGCACTAAGACTGCTGATATTTAGGGTTTCCCGATAAATGTGATTACGGTGTAATTCTTTGATCATGATTTTAAAATATAAAAAAAAAAAAATTTGATAACTTTCAAACACATATAAAATGCTAAAAATAGTTCCTTAGTTGCTAAAATTTAATTCAATGTATTTGAAATGTATAAAAATAAAAGTAAGACTCAAACTTTTACTAAAGTAAAAGCGGATATAACAAAATTTTTTTGCGCATTTAAATTTATTCGATTTCCGTAAAATAATAGAAAATAACTATGATTGTTTTTAATAATCCGTATGTACTTAAATCTTATCGGCTTTTTGGCGTTATGTCAGTATAGCTCATTCTTTTATATATATATATATACGTAAGTGAAAATTTGATTGTCTGTGACTTTGCTCGACAAGGCTTTTGCATGGATTGATGGATCTTTAAAAAACCTGGCACATATATACATCATTATCCGGCAGGAAGTCTTATGAGGTTATGAACTTTTTATAGCATTCCGGTTGTGGGAGGGCTGGGGCCCTGCATTCGTTATGATCTTATATCAGATATATAAATAAAATAGCATCCTACATGAATGGATTAATCTCGACCAAACTTATTACAAATATACTTTGTTATCCATATTCAAATACCAATGGTAATTAACTCAAAATATCCATTGTTCTGGGGCCGTTCCCTATTTCATGTTTACTTATATAAACTATATAAATGCCAATAGGCTTAGTTGGACAACACTTTAGGTTCTATGGGAGATGGATCTAAGCCTAGCTTGGTAGCAATAGTCCGTAATGAAGTTTGGTGGATTCAAAATTAATAATATCCAGTCCATTCAGGGCCGATTTAGAGTTTTCCAGAAATTTCAATAATTTAGAAAAGCCATATCTATGGCATTTTAAACCCGATTTTAATTGGACAAATTTTCACTTTTAACTTTATGATTTATTTGTCTGATTTTGATCACCGAGTTCCAGTAGTTTTGTTTGTTCGCATGAAAAGAACCTACCCAACTCCGTTGTCCCAGCCATCCAAGTGACTCACTTGTACTTGGTCTTTTCACGCATCACAGTCAAAACTAAAACGGTTGCAGTTATCGGTTAGCGCATTTACTTGAATAATGTTGGGTCTTCGAAAAATGATGACGTAGAAAAGTCTTTTTTTTTTTTTTTTTACACGTTTCGAGGAGGATATTAAATTTAATTTAGAGTATTCCAGAAAGCTCTATAGTGTTCTACGGCGATATATAATGGGATCTAAAGGTTTATTGAAATGTTAATTCAGTTTTGATTCATTTCTCTAATTTCATTTTCTTTAAATAGGCCTTTCATAATCCTACCGGGGACAAAATGCCACTAAGAACATGATCCCACTGAGAAACAAGAACCCACTAACAACATGATCCCACCGAGAAATACGATCACACTAACAACATGATCCCACCGAGAAACAGGATCCCACTAACAACATAATCCCACCGGAAAACAGAA